TAATGCATATACAAAGAAAATGTACAATAACCAGTTTTGCTTCCCTCCTTGCAAGTAAATGACTGCTTATAGGGGGTGTCATCAATTTTGTCAATTATGATTAAAATTATGCTTAGAAATTATGGGGAGGGAAGGGGAGGGGGTCATTGATTTTGTATATGACATGCAGGGGGTCACTTATTTTGTACATAAATTTAGGGGGTCATTCACATTGTACATGCTTCTCCATAAAAATCATCATCCCCCCAGCCATAAATTATGAACGGTCCCAAAGTTAACTCACTAACCCGAAATTTAAATGTAGAAACTGAGCAAAAGATTACAAAAGGTAAAATACCATCAAAAACAAATAAGAAAACACATGTCTGAATTTCTGAAATGTTATGTTTATGCTCAACATCCTTATGCTGCAAATATGATGAACAGTTTTATCAGGCCACTATCTTGCATGATTTAAAAGCGTACGTAACAAGTCGGTGAGAGTGATATATTTACAAAATGACTCCATTAAAATTATCTAGCTAGTCGGGCCAGTGACTGTGTAGATTTACTGTCCCGACTTGATATTTACTAGCCTCGAGCTATTTCGCGCACTGGGTGTGGTTAGCGTACTGGCCTGGCGGGGCCGTGCGACAGCCTTCTGTATAAAGTGTTCGCTCAGCACACCACACCCTAGTCCGATTTCTCATATGTACAATGTATGAATACTATTTGTGGTGTCCTCTGCCGTAATATTGCTGGAATATTGCCAAAACCACGAAAAACGTAAAATCACACTCACTCACTCACGCACGCACTTCGCTTTGCCAGAATTCTAATTGCGTGGATTCGAATCCCACACTGACCTGGTAAAAGTGCATCGACTTTGAACATACTCGTGGGTTTCACCAAAGCGGTAAAGATCTCAGACCTGCTTCAACTCCAACTTTGCTCGTCAATACTCACGGCCTCCAAACACGTTGTAGGATTCAACGTTCTTATATTCACTCGCTCAAACGTGTTTGACATGAAATCTCGGACACGTTGTATCCTAACTCAAAAATACATTATTGGAATTTGCCTTGTGAAATGCACCTTTGTCGGAAGCAAGGAAAACCTACAGACAACCCACCATACAAGAACACTCACGGGGGCTTGTAACGCTAAAGGTTAGAGCGTCCGCCCGGAGAGCGGAAGGTCGCGGGTTCGATCCCCGGCCGCGTCATACCAAAATACGTTAAAATATGGTACGTGTTGGTCCCTGCCTGGCGCTCGGCATTAATGGGTACAACAAGGACTGGTCGGCTCGGAGTCAGTATAATGTGTCTGAGTGGGTTATTCATGCTTCACTGCGGCATGGTATCTCAGTGGGCAAGCACTATAAAACCAGCTTAAGTTTGGGCTAGTACAAGCAGCCGCACATACACATACACACCCATGCACGTCGTCATATGAGCGAAATATTCTCAAGCACGACGTTAAACCCAATTTCACCTCACCTCACCTCACCTTGTAACGCTAAAACTGCCATCAAGGTATATACTGTCACTGACGGGGTCTTAGTACTACATTTGTATATACTTAGTACCTTTTATGTACTACTAAGATCCCGTCAGTGACGCTAAAACTGCCATCAATGTATATACTGTCACTGACGGGGTCTTAGTACTACATTTGTATATACTTAGTACCTTTTATATAGTACTAAGATCCCGTCAGTGACGCTAAAACTGCCATCAAGGTATATACTGTCACTGACGGGGTCTTAGTACTACATTTGTATATACTTAGTACCTTTTATATAGTACTAAGGCCCAGTCAGTGACGCTAAAACTGCCATCAAGGTATATACTGTCACTGACGGGGTCTTAGTACTACATTTGTTTATACTTAGTACCTTTTATATAGTACTAAGGCCCCGTCAGTGACGCTAAAAACTTCCATCAAGGTATATACTGTCACTGACGGGGTCTTAGTACTACATTTGTATATACTTAGTACCTTTTATATAGTACTAAGAACCCGTCAGTGACGCTAAAACTGCCATCAAGGTATATACTGTCACTGACGGGGTCTTAGTACTACATTTGTATATACTTAGTACCTTTTATATAGTACTAAGATCCCGTCAGTGACGCTAAAAATGCCATCAAGGTATATACTGTCACTGACGGGGTCTTAGAACTACATTTGTTTATACTTAGTACCTTTTATATAGTACTAAGGCCCAGTCAGTGACGCTAAAACTGCCATCAAGGTATATACTGTCACTGACGGGGTCTTAGTACTACATTTGTTTATACTTAGTACCTTTTATATAGTACTAAGGCCCCGTCAGTGACGCTAAAAACTTCCATCAAGGTATATACTGTCACTGACGGGGTCTTAGTACTACATTTGTATATACTTAGTACCTTTTATATAGTACTAAGATCCCGTCAGTGACGCTAAAACTGCCATCAAGGTATATACTGTCACTGACGGGGTCTTAGTACTACATTTGTATATACTTAGTACCTTTTATATAGTACTAAGATCCCGTCAGTGACGCTAAAACTGCCCTCAAGGTATATACTGTCACTGACGGGGTCTTAGTACTACATTTGTATATATACTTAGTACCTTTTATATAGTACTAAGATCCCGTCAGTGACGCTAAAACTGCCATCAAGGTATATACTGTCACTGACGGGGTCTTAGTACTACATTTGTATATACTTAGTACCTTTTATATAGTACTAAGATCCCGTCATGGACGCTAAAACTGCCATCAAGGTATATACTGTCACTGACGGGGTCTTAGTACTACATTTGTATATACTTAGTACCTTTTATATAGTACTAAGGCCCCGTCAGTGACGCTAAACTGCCATCAAGGTATATACTGTCACTGACGGGGTCTTAGTACTACATTTGTTTATACTTAGTACCTTTTATATAGTACTAAGGCCCCGTCAGTGACGCTAAAACTTCCATCAAGGTATATACTGTCACTGACGGGGTCTTAGTACTACATTTGTATATACTTAGTACCTTTTATATAGTACTAAGATCCCGTCAGTGACGCTAAAACTGCCATCAAGGTATATACTGTCACTGACGGGGTCTTAGTACTACATTTGTATATACTTTAGTACCTTTTATATAGTACTAAGATCCCGTCAGTGACGCTAAAACTGCCATCAAGGTATATACTGTCACTGACGGGGTCTTAGTACTTACATTTGTATATACTTAGTACCTTTTATATAGTACTAAGGCCCCGTCAGTGACGCTAAAACTGCCATCAAGGTATATACTGTCACTGACGGGGTCTTAGTACTACATTTGTATATACTTAGTACCTTTTATATAGTACTAAGATCCCGTCAGTGACGCTAAAACTGCCATCAAGGTATATACTGTCACTGACGGGGTCTTACTACTACATTTGTATATACTTAGTACCTTTTATATAGTACTAAGATCCCGTCAGTGACGCTAAAACTGCCATCAAGGTATATACTGTCACTGACGGGGTCTTAGTACTACATTTGTTTATACTTAGTACCTTTTATATAGTACTAAGATCCCGTCAGTGACGCTAAAACTGCCATCAAGGTATATACTGTCACTGACTACTATATATATAGTATAACTCACTTTCTCACTCAGGTGTTCGTGGACGAATCCCACATAGGTACATAGGTATATATTATGTGCAAAACCTATTTGTAGTGTTCCCTCGCAATCTAGTTGATGAATTCTGTTAGCGCCGTAAAAGAATATTCACTCGCTGTGGGATAATGGGATGTATGTATCTGAAATTTCATATTTAACTTTACATAGGACTAGTGGCCTAGCAGGAAGCAATTCGCTAAGTAGTGTCAGGATGTGCTGATCACGTGTTCGAGTCTGAGATTCAGTTTGATTATAACCCTTGGTTTGTCTGCACCATACTCGGGTGGTGGGGTAGCCTAGTGGTTGCAGCGTTCGCTCGTCACGCCGAAGACCCGGGTTCGATTTCCCACATGGGCATAATGTGTGAAGCCCATTTCTGGGGTCCCCCGCCGTGATTTTGCTGGAATATTGCTAAACGCGGCGTAAAACTAAACTCACTCACTCAGTCTGCACCATAATCGTTCACCTTGGCTTTCACCAGAACGGTTAACATCTGCTGCGTGCTCTTTATTTCCTTTCTCTCAAACAAACTGACGTGACGCAAAAGCATATAAGATTTAGTCATAAATTGTATGGATATTTTCACAATAATCTGTATCTATCTAACAATGAATCATTTTACATTTGGATATTGTTGCGAAGTGACATAGTAGAATTAAGTAAAACATCTAACACTTCAATCAATGTCAGACAGGTTTGGAATTTGGAATTTGGAATTTTAATTGAAGTGAAACAGGGACAGAATTTAGCATGCAAGCAGCTTCAATATTGGTCGGTAGTAGAAACAAGAATTTGATACGGCTCAATGTGCCTTAAGTGTCGTCATTACATCTTAACATATATGTGACATATATTCCATGGGAAAAACAGTCAAAGAAGTGAAACCATTTAACGTCACTACACAGAAAGCACATATTATGCTCTTCAGCCCAGTGTGAGTGTGAGAGTGTGAGTGTGTGTGTGTGTGTGTGTGTGTGTGTGTGTGTGTGTGTGTGTGTGTGTGTGTGTGTGTGTGTGTGTGTGTGTGTGTGTGTGTGTGTGTGTGTGAGGCTCGCTTGATACATTGTATCTCAGTTACGCAGATCGATGCTCATTCTGTTGATTACCGGGTTGTCTGGTTCAATCTCGAATACTTACAGACCGCAAACAAGTATAAATCAAAACAATTGACATTATGAACCGAGTATGACAATGTGATCATAATACTTATATGTCGACATGTATAGATATTGATTTAACAATTTATTTTATTTTACCGAATATCCATGTTCAAAGCGCAACAAGGAAACAATGTCTGAACCCAATTCTTGCTTGCTTCAATATGGCATAAAATCAAATTGATATACAAAACAATACGTAAATGTGTATCACATTTTAATTTCTGTTGTTTGGCACGCGAATATAATTTACAATATACTTTTTATGGAAAATAGTCTCTTCATTTCTTGCTTCCTGTTTACATCAACACGTTGATAGTTGTCACCTCAGTAGTCTCTCGTTATTGTCCCCGGACATTTGTCGAAGACCAGCTGCAGAATGGTTATATATTGTCAATACATGAGGGTGCATTACGAAGTATATATGGAAAAACAACGTAATATTATTGTATTACCTTCGTCAGATATGTTTTAAAAAAAGGATATTCACTAAATACATGTCAATTTCATTCATGCACAACACTGGACGCCGGAACACTCAGCTTGGTTAACGAGTGCGAAATGAAACTTAGCTCGAAGCGCTCGTACAATCTCTAAAACTAGTTATGAGGATTCTCGGAAGAAATAGGCCCTACGTACCAAATGTTTGTAGAAAGACATCTAGTGTTCAAGTGGTTACAATATGTAAATATAGTTAATAGCTAAATAGCTTCCACTTAATATATTTAATCAGTTATTACCGAATCAATTTTCCCATAAAAACGGTCCAGATAGCCAAGTGGACTACCGCCGGCCCCCATGTAGAGAGGTTCGTTGCTCACGGCTGGTATCCGTCCCTGAGCTGTAGAATATGTAGAAATCAGGCTGTTCAATCATGTTTCTTTTATGAACATAATTTAATAACATTTATATCAAAGTAATACTACAAAATCATAAATGCATACTGATCAATGTCAGTTTGATTGTTCAAGGGGAAAATATTCATTAAAGCTCTGTGTTGTAACGAATGAAAAAGTATTACAAGGAAGCATACTATTTTTCAGCCATTCACACGAAAACAAATACGAATTTAATTCAGAATTAATTTCTGTTTTAGAATTCATTATTATTTGACACTTCTGGATTTCAATAGAATTTGCATAATTTATGAGGATTGTGAATCATAGTGTGATGGTCTCCGTACTACCCAAACCCTCTACAAATGCCCTCCACCTTAGAGCCCGAGGCTGTCTTACCGTACACGGCTCTATGGCCGACTGTCAGTTTCACCGTGATATCGTCCTGCTCCACCGAGACGTACGTATAAGATCCCTGTAGAATATGTGCATAGAATATCACAGCTGTCGCTCATCTCTCAATGCGTGGTACCAGGTATTACACAACAGTATGGATCTTTGGGTAATGTCAAGACACGTGTGAATGCATGTTTAAACAGGCTGAGTCCTGTTGAATTGTGATGGGTTAATGTTGCCGTAAAAATGTGACCAGCTATCAAATGCGTTCACATCCAAACATCGATTGATAATCCTGTCAGAATAATTACGCCACCGTTAGAGCTCCACTTTTATTGATTGTTGGCTCAGTGAATATTGATGTGGCTCGAAAAGATACAGTTAGTTGTATAGGATGCACTGCAGCTGTTCGCGTCCACATTGGCCATGAATAGCAAGATTACATGGGATCCATAATATGTAGACTCCGAGCCTTGAATCTTTCTCACATCTTGGAGCTCAGGTTCAAATGACCTGGGCACTGTTCTTTAAGCCGATCTTAGTGCTGTGAGGAGCTTAACTATCATTTTCATAACTAACCTTTCTCTCATTGCCTACAGAGTTATTAAAAAAGGGGAGCTGATGGGGTAGCCTTGTGGTTAAAGCGTTCGTTCGACACGCCAAAGACCCGGGTTCGATTCCCCACATGGATACAATGTGTGAAGCCCATTTCTGGTGTCCCCACCGTGATATGACTGGAATATTTCTAAAAGCGGCGTAAAACCATACTTACTCACTATGAAATAGGGGCATGTGGTCCTGACTGCCAAACCTCATCCCTTTCAATTCAAATTTCTTGATTAGCAATCTTTTTAAAATAGTTTTCTAGGGTTAAGTCGTAATCATAAGTGTGTTTTGTTTTGTGACCTCAGATCTCAGGGCCCTTTCTCAGTCGGTTTGGGAACATGAAACAAATTCCAACACCACCGACATTTAAATCAAGGAAAGATAAGCTAAACTCTTTCGTAAAGATCCGGACAAGCTAAAATTGCGTTAATACCGGATTTTTTTGCTGACCAGAACCGATTTATGATTGGCCTAAAAACGATTGTTTTTATAAAACGTATCTGAATTGACCCACTGCGATAGGTATAACAGAAACATTTACTTGTTTCAGAATAAAAACATTTTTGTAGCAATATTGCATTATGATAAGCTTACCTGATTGATCGGGAGAGATAGAATCACTGGTTTTTTGTTTTGTCGATGTCCGTCTTTCTTCGGGTACCGTGGTATTATAACCAGTTGTATCTTGTTCCCAATCAAAGCCAGACTGAAGGTGCTTGATGTCCAAGAGAAGTTGTTGCTGACGATAGTTTGACCTGATGACCTTGAAGATTTGGGCTTCACCAACAGAGATAGGCGGTATGCAGGTCGGAGGTCATTTCCGGTGAAAAATGGGATGTAAAGAAATCCCCCCTGAAAGACGGCAGCTCCATCCTGAGGAAACACATTCCCTTCACTCCCCATCCAGATCCTGTTGTAACGCTCGGAAAACGGATGGCTACCTTCGAAGTCAAAAGCGAATTCCGGTCGACACTTCTTCGCTGTAAACAGGTTAAAGTTGAAGTGGGACTATAATGTGAGTTAGGTGGTTTTACGCCCGCTCTTTCAGCAAAAGTGAGTGAGAGGGTTTTATTCAGCAATATCACGTCTTTAAAATGATACAACGATGTGTAAATGAATTAGAACTGATTCCATGAGGGTTGACTGGTTGACCATGCAATACTTTTGCGTTTATTTTTCTTTAAACCGAGCAATTAGGGCACGCCCTCTTGAAACTTATGATGGATTTGGCGAGGCTTGGGCGCTGAACGTTTTTTGCTGATTTCTTATTGTAGTCTAGTGTATTGTGTTACTGATAACTACTGAAGTCTGGGAATTGGAAGTTATTATTGATGACTTAATTATTTATATGAACCGAATAAGTGTTTATTCAAAACGGAGGAATAAAGGAAAAAACTACTACTACTACTACTACTACTACTACTACTACTGGATCTGCTTCATGTTGACAATTTGTACTACACGTGTATTTCGTGTTGAATTTTTTAAGCTTGCACGTTTTGATGAATAATTGAAGATATGTTATGAAGCTCGCAGTCGAATCAAAATTACCTACAGACAAGACGATATTACCCTTTGACTTACCTGCAGGCTTCTTGTCGTAGTCAACGTCGTAGGAAGACGTCGGCACAGTTATCTTACCCGGGTACTGTGGGTAGATTGAATTTGGCCCAGGAGCGTATGGTTGTCTGTAGTTGTCATTATTACCAGGAAACGGATAGCCTTTATCATCATCACCATCATCATCATCATTATCATCATCGTCATCATATACCTGAAGAGACGCACCTTGTGGGTAAAGGTTTGGATGCGTCTCGCTGTTTCCATAGTAATCCGGCTTAACGGGAGAACTATCATAATTGTTACTGTTATCTCCGTACGGGCTACCGTTGTCATGGTAATCCTTGCCACCATCAAACCCTCCAATTTCACTGTTTGTGTTACGGTTGTCAGGGTAATTATCGTCGTCATTAAAGCCGTTGTCAAGGTTAATGTCGTTGAAGAAATCGCTGCTGGGGAACAGACTCAAGGACCAATCTAAATTACTACGACTGGGAACTCTGCTTATAGAGGTACCATCGCCTTTCGGTGCCGGGGAACTCGGGTTGCCGAAAATAAAATCCAGATTGAACGAGTCTCCATCGTTGGTATTGTACGGCTGCGCAGAAACGCAGCACAGACCGAGGACATATAGAGCTGTGATGTATCTACCCGTCATTGTGGTATCCACTAGTCCTGGAAGGAGACAATACAAATCAGGCGTTTGTTGATAAATTACGTATGTGTGCATTTTGTTTTATGCCACAGGCAGCAATATCACAGCTGTATCAGGGTGACGTGTACGCAGAGTCTGGATCAGGCAAATCATGAGTGAGTTGAGTGAGTGAGTGAGTTTAGTTTTACGCCGCACTCAGCAATATTCCAGCTATATGGCGGCGGTCTGTAAATAATCGAGTCTGGACCAGACAATCCAGTGATCAACAGCATGAGCATTGATCTGCGCAATTGGGAACCGATGACATGTGTCAACCAAGTCAGCGAGCCTGACCACCGGATCCCGTTAGTCACCTCTTACGACAAGCATAGTCGCCTTTTGTGGCAAGCATGGGTTGCTGAAGACCTATTCTACCCCGGATCTTCACGGGTCTCAGGCAAATCATACTCACCTGGACAACTGTGGATATCAAGGTTCCATTTAGAAAGATTCCATTCATTAAGTACAGCTCATAGATCCTTGAAGATCCGGGTTAGAATTGTGTCGTATTTATTAGACACGATTATTTACACACAGTCGCCATTATCTATACTATTGCTGAGTGCCGCGTTAAACAACAAACAAACAAACAACCGAATGAAAGAGCAAACACCTCATGGCACTGCATGCTTTGTAGCAGGTTATGTTAGGTCATCAGATTCCATACACCCGAACCTATATACTAATGATGTTGCAGACTTGTCTGGTCCAGACTCAATTGTTTACAGACCGCCGCCATATAGCTGGAATATTGCTGAGTACAGTATTAAACAACAAACAAACACAAACACACGACCGTAACTTATAGATAATGGAAACTCGCCTTAAATAGCACAAATATAATGATAGTGCATGGCTCTTAAAGTAAAACAAATAATTACAGTTAATTTTCAAAGTCTTAACATAGTTGATTTCATAAACAGCATACACATGCTAACAATCAATTATTAATATACATATTATTGCAACATCTTATATTAACTAACCTGAGCTCCCTCACTTGAAACCCGCACAAAGAAAAGATACAACTGCTCCCTTTTATACCTACCTTAATTGCAAGACTCACTGTGATTGGTTACAAAGATGACGTCATCAAAAGGCTTTAACGCCTAGCATGTCCAACCGTGGTTGAAGGAATGTTCCAATGAAATACATAACATCGAGGGTAATATATGCTATGTTATTCAACCCAATCCCACATTCGTGTCACCTATTCACGTAAAGTTTATGTTTGACACCGTGCTGAGTATCTAGTGCTTGTTTTGGGGTGAAGGTCATCAGGACGTCAGGTGACCAAGTGAAGATAGGTAATGTGATCGTCCTTTCGTGTATCCTTTATGACACATGTATTATGCAAACTTGTGAATATCTAAAGTACCTGACACATTTGGTAGCTTCATCATTAATCAAAATCAATATTGCCTTAGAGACTGTTGTGATTTTAAACAGGAACTAGGAATTTGGAATCTGTAAGGAAATATCTTGCCTAAAATGATACTGATATATTGACACGCGTTATCATGATCGTGATCTTTTATGAGTGAGTTAATGTATTTTATTATGCTATGAGCAATATCGCAGTTTCATCAGTCACTATAGCCACCCGATCCTCAAACCGCGCCTCTAATGACAAGCATGGAATACTGTGGAACCTTCTTGACCCGGATTGTCCGCAGGATTTGTTACGTGAAACGAAGCAATGATACTTTAATTTTCTCAATGTATGTAGAGGCGGTGGAGTAGCCTTGTGGTCAAAGCGTTCGCTCGTCACGCCGGGTTCGATTCCCCACATGGATGAGACGTGTGTCAACAGAATATAGCCACATGTTGAACATGTACATTCATTGAGTGAGTGAGTGAGAGTGAGTGAGTTACAGTCTTACGCCGTCTTAGCAATATTCCAGCAATATCACGGCGGGGGACACCACAATGTGTGAAGCCCATTGCTGGTGTCCCCCTCCGTGATATTGCTGGAATATTGCTAAAACGGCATAAAACCAAACTCACTCATTCACTCAATGTATGTACATGTTCAATGTGTAACTATATTGTGTAATCATTAATATAAGATAATATAAGATGCGATAACGGGTTAGGTATAGAATTGCAAGTTACATATTTAAGAAAAACAAGATGACGTTGAAATAAGTAATACTATTCATTTCATGGGTTTTCCAAGAAGGGCGGTGTATGTTGTGTTTCAATTGTTCACGGAAGTACACGGTTCAAGTATGATAAATTAAGGCTGGAATAATAAGACTTGCAAATTTCAAGCATTATACACACTAGAATATTTGTGACAGAAACTAAAAACAAACTTGTGAATAAAATATTCCATGTTGAACGTGGGCATGGCCGGAATGGCGTTCAGTTGTCATGCTGATGAATGTAAGTTTGAACAGGACTGAATACTGACATGTGTTGGTCTCCAGGTAGACTTGCGCAAGTCTCTAAGGTAATAATAAATAGTTTAAATGATAATTTCTAAACAAAAATAAGTATTCCTCCAACAGACTGGCGTCCTTAGTACTGTTCGCTTATCTGGACTTGCCTCTCTGAAGGATAGAACCACTACACATCCATGGGTTCAGCAATCAGTACAGCCTTGGAGCAAAGCTAATCTCCAGGGTGATCGAGTATCGGAATATTGCCATAGGAATGACAGAGAGAATTAGACTAAGGGAGAGTGATTAGATTTCTGTACTTGCTAATCATTCCGTTGGGAGATGGAATAGCCAGACAGTCAAAAGCTCTTGCCATTATTTGACTCCTTTTATCGCGGGGCGAAAAGTTCACTGGCAACATGTTTCTTTTGAATAGTACAACCAGAAATTATAGAGAATTTAAAGATTGTAAGCTTTATATTTTTTTCGCTCATTACTCATGTATTAAATGTGAATATTAGAGGACATAGGTGAACAGTTAGTATTTTGTCAAGTCACCATGGGCAGCAATGCAGGCTTCAATGCGGCGGGGCATACTACTGATCAAAGAGGTTAGAAAGTCGTGGCCCATGCTGTCCCAATATCGGACCACCTCTTCTTTCATTTCAGCAATATTTGTCAGATTTTTCTTATTGACACTTTCCTTCATAAGTCCCCAAACATTTTCTATTGGATTTAGGTCAGGGCTATAGCTTGGCCAATCTAATAATGTCATATTTTGGGTCCGAAACCAGGCCTGTGAATGCTTTGAACGATGTTTTGGGTCGTTGTCCTGCTGGAAAATCCAAACATTTCCATAGAACACGTGAGCAGATGGAAGTAAATGTCCCTCGAGAATATCTGTGTACCGCTCACTGTTCATATTCCCTTCAAATACACAGAGGGGCGTTGCCCCTAACACAGATATGCCACCCCACACGTTAAATTTCGGACTGTACTTTGGGCACTGATACAAAGGTTCTTCAGTTTGTTTGGTCCTGAATTTCAGTGTATTAGGAAACAGCCACACCGACCTTTCATCTGAGAAAATCACATTGTCCCAGTTAATATTTCTATGCTGTAAGCACCAGTTCAACCTCCGCTCCTTTTGTTCAGGTTTCATGATCGGTGATGGAATTCCTTGACTTTTCTGCCAACCCATTGCATGCAGCTCAGTTCTAATTGTCTCCTTACAGACAGCCACAGTTCCTCTATCAACCATGTCCATCCTTACGTTTTCTAAACTCCTTCGTTTGTTTTTAGAAACAAGAATACCAAGCCGCCTCCGGTCAAATTTCTGGGCCTACCTGCGCCTCCCTGGTGCTCAATGCCATATCCATTTGCAATATTTTTCAAAACACGATAAACAGTGGACAAAGGGATGCCTGTTCTACTTGAAATCACTTTAGCTGATCTGATGTCCTTGTTATAATACTCTAAAATCAACTTCCTCTTCTCTAAATCATCCATACTGAGGATCACTGAAAATGTCGTCTGCCAGCAAGTAAACAAAGGGGGATAACTCTTCACAAACTAATGAAAAAGGATTAACGGAGTTGTCTCTCTTGAATGAAATCAAGTACTTAATAGCTGGTCAAGGTAGTTTATACTAGAAATCCAATTAAACATATTCCTAAAATTCTGAATAATTTCTGGTCATACTATATATTGTTTTAGTCATAATTACTAATCTTATTCTCCCAGAGAATTCAACTTCGATGCTGCTTTGTTAAATTGTTTACATTTATTTCAATAAGAATCACAGAACGTGAGTTTACTTGCAAAGTGTTTTTCGTAACACTAATCCTTTGCAATCTTTATTGAGTGGTTTTAGATCAGGTTCAGGATCTTGACTTAGGACTCGACCTTTTAGGGCGGACGGATATTTTTCTCACTGTTTTTAAACATTTTGATTGTTTTGTAAGTATATATTCACAATCACCTCTGAATATAGTGCACATAATCGCTTGTCTACGTGATGACTGATGCATTAACAGGAATGAAGTAGGTACACGATATAAACTAGGATGCAAGGTTTAAGGGCGCAGAGGACAGCTGTGTTATGCGATAGTTACTGTTTGTCCTGCCGGTTAAAATGTGAAGCTTTTGGTTGGTTTGGTGTTCAATGCCACACTCAGCAATATTCCAGCTATATGGGGGGACCTGCAGATCATCGAAAGCACGAGCATCCATCTACACAACAGGGAAACCGATGACATGTGTCAACCAGGTCAGAGAGCCTGACTACCCGATCCCGTTAGTAGCCTCTTACGTGAAATGTGAAGCGATGAGTCGTCCATTGTGATATGGGTTTTATGTGTTTACTTCTTCTTTAACGATGCACTCAATAATATTCCATATATATATTGCGGCGGTCGGAAAACAATCGAATCTTGACCAGACAACCCAGTGGTCAACAAGTTTTATGTGACTATAAACTGTATTTCAGTTACACCACACCATGTCTGTTTAATATGGCAGGAGATTTCAAAGTGGCTTATCGCGTGGACCTTTTGCTGAAACAGAGCATGGGTTTGACGCTTACCAAAGTAGAATCATATTTGCGGATCTTTCGCTCAGCTAAGGTGACACAACTCATGGTTGGCTAAGGCATCATTGCAGTGAATTTTCCGTGCAGCCTCAATACTTAAAGAGGTTCACGTAAATATTATGTATTCCAAGACTGTAATGTGACCATCAGTCATGTATGTTTGAATCAAAGATGTACACTGTAGTCTTCTGAATTCCATATCAGCGAATGAAATTTGGGCCATTTCAAGCATTACTCCAGCCACAACGACATTGAAAACATGAAAACTTTATTCACATTATATGGTTGTTACACATTTCTAACAATCAAGCGATGCACCAATATCCGAAATCGAATCTGTACGTGTAGAGACATTATGTTAATCACTTATTAAACCCATCGCCCACAGGCTCATCAGCAGGTGTTCTCTAAAAACGTGTTAGTGAGTGAGTTGCACGTCGCACTAAAGTGAGTTAGTTTAGTAATAGCAATATTCCAGCTATATGGCGTCGGTCTGTAAATAATCGAGTCTGGACCAGACAATCAAGTGATCAACAGCAATTAGGAACCGATGACATGTGTCAACCAAGCCAGCGAGTCTGACCACCCGATCCCGTTAGTCGCCTCTTACGACAAGACGTCGCACTAAACAGTACGCCAGTTGTAATAGTAACGTTAACGTTGTGCATTGTGTATTCGTACCCTTTCCTGCGGAGCAAAGCCCGAACTGGTTAATTTCTCTGGCGTTTCCCAGTTAACACACAACGTTTCCGCAACGTTGTGAGAAGGTTGTAGATTGGTAACGTCATGACACAACGTTAGTATTACGTCATGTTATAACGTTATTTCACAGCGTTACATATATACGTTTTCAAAACGTTGTGTATCGGCTATTACACAATAACTTGGAGTCACGCTAGAGTTTTCTGTAAAACGTTTCACTTTGAGATTCTTTCTTCACTATTCAGCAACAACATCACAAAACGCAGGGCCAAAACAACATGCAAATTGAGGAATAAACATTGAAGTGGATTTCTGCTTTGTTTCTCATGTACTTTTCCCTACTGGGAAATCTATTCAAGTAATAACGTTAAACAGAACGTTAAGACAACGTAAAATACGTTAGCATCAAATACCTTTAACATTGTGACGACGATAAAATTACTTATCCCAACGTCACGTCACAACGTTGTGACAACGTGAAGTTGTTAACTAGGTTACCACTTGTGAAATCAATGAGCACGGATAATGCGCTAACAAACCTAGAAACAATCGGGGAACTGCGATTCGAACCAGTTGTAGTACTAATATACAGAATGAGAGTAGGGTGGGACTATGTGGCAGGTATTAATATACGGTCAGTACAAGCGTGAACACAGTCCGTCAAATAATGTGTACATTGTACATGCAGACAGAAGTTAATCACAATGTTAGCTGTTAAAACCAATGTTAAACATGTATTTCAGAAATAAAACTTGATTTCGTTGTAACCTGTTCATTCTACATGACTGCGCATTTACGATGAAATGGAGATTCGAATTGAACCTTACAATAACATCTAATAAATATTCTTGCAAAGTTTTTTTTCTTTTTTTAAACCATTCAAAAAATTATTGGGAGCAAAAGAAAGTGTACCGGGTTTGTTTTAGTGTTATTGAAAACTAAAAAATGCTTATGTTAAACTTGTTTGGGTATATTTAACCATTAATATAATTTAAAGAAACACTATGTATAATTTATGATTATGTATACTTTTATATTTAGAAAGTTTTACATTTATGTATATCAAAAACATACGACCTTAAAAGGGCATTATTTGAAAGCCGTCTTTTCATTAGCGTCACTGCTGTCAATTTATTGGATGTAATAATGCAACTTTCAGATATTTTCAAATTGATCAAATCAACTGACAGATATTTCTTACTTTGCTCAGAATTTATTGAACGCTTTACAAAGGTAATCCTCTTTTACAAAAGTAATCCATTTCATACAAAATTAAGTATCAATTGCTTAGATGCAATATCCTCGCCGCCAAAAAACTATGATGTCTTATGTTATCCGTGATAAGTAAGGAAGCTTTGGTTCAGTTAATAATGATTTGGTCGGAATAAAAAGTGATTGACATGACGTGGGCCTATAATACTATTTTTCGGATTGATTGTGTAAACAGCTTCCATTCCAAACTTCACGTGATCCCCAGGTGGCAGTGGACCAGCCACGTACCGGGGTTATCAGTGAACATCTCAACCGTCTCAGTTGTGGAAGGAAAAACCTCAATGACATCATTGCGGTGGGCCTTGTCGGTGCGGTGTATAAACGTCTGTCCATGGAAGTGGACAGGATGAATATCGCCAGAACTCCCGAGACCAAGAATATGCCAGGCGATAGTCTCTCCCTCTGTCATGGTTAATCCACGAACGTTCCCGTAAATAAGCCCATTGATAGCGTGCATCTCATTACTGTCTTCAAAATCGTCGTCGCCAAGGTTGGTTCGGTTAGGTGCAAACGTCGCAGCATTTTCCTGCAGATAATGGCTGTCATTTTCGTTAAATATTAGAAAGAGAAGAGCAAATTCGCGGTTTATCTTGTCCGTACGTTTACCGTAAGCATTCAACACCCCAGGTCTACATATTACTAGAGGTCCGACCAAACCACTACTGATGTCTTTGGTGGAATCAACGGATGAATGGTACAACCAGCTGATACAGTTGGGGTCATTCTTGCCAGGGCCTGACCTCTTGGGTACCTCCCAATGGTACACGAACGTTTGACCTGGCGGTACCGCATTGTCTCCAGTGAAGGCGCTACCATCTTGATATTGTGCACCTTCGCTGGCCTTGTTGTAAAACAATCCCTGGGGATTGATCGAGTAGGCCCTGGAGGCCAGGTTCTTGAACACAACCTCAACGGTGTCCCCTACTTCTGCTCTGATAAACGGTCCCAGAATTCCCAGATGTTCTTGTTCCGGTCCACGTGGTACTTGTGTTGTGAAGGTACTGTCTGTGTACTGACGGTACAAGGCTTTCTTATATTTACTGCCGATAAAATTTGGGCCTCCTTTGATGAACTTGTATCCGTCCCTGCAAGAAGAATGGAAATCATTCATGATAAACGTAATAGCAGACAGTTAATTCGATATACATGTACACACTTTTTAACGAACCAGGACCGCAAAACGTTCTGCAGCTACGACTTTTGTTGTTACAAAAAATTATATTACTCTATAAATTCCCATTAGACATATGGCTGTCTTATGTTATAGCTTTGTGGATAAACATCTTGCAATGAACGTTAGTCATCAAAGCTCACGTAGCACTTGATGGTTAAAGCGTCCGCTCGTCACCCTGAAGAACCGGGTTCGATTCTCCACATGGGTACAATGCTGGTGTCCCCCGCCGTGATATTGCTAGAATATTGCTAAAAGCGGCGTAAAACATACTCACTCACTCACGCAGCACTACGACTATGCGAACTACATATATTAACATAGACTTATGCCTGTCGTAGCGCTACAAACGCTTGGTAGATAACGGTCCAGGGTTACGATCCACGATAGAAAGCGTTCGTAACGTTACGACCTGACGTAACTCATAACGCATATTAATGTCGTAGCGCTACGAATGATATGCGCGTCGGGACCCTGAAACACATTCCTAGTACAGATGGGAGATGCTCACAGCGAGGTGTTGGTGAGAGGGAGTCCAGTGACCAGGTCTGTCAAGACTGGGGCGTAGTCCCACACAGCTTCAACAGCGGCAATGTAGTAACGTCGCACATGATGTCGGTGATGGCCCCACTGCGGGGAGTGATGTGCACCACAAGAGAAGACGTCGTACAGACCAACCATGCCGTTGGTGTAGTGGAAGTTGGTGCGACAATGTACTGACCAACGGCCTAAAAACATAGTACATAGATAGGACATTAGATAAGTTCCTGGGAGCTTGGTGTTCATTCTTTGTTCCTGTTCCTACAGATTAGCTCGGCAAATACCACAAAGGCTGGGAGGTGAATTTTTTACATGACAGATCAGGGTTAAGATCCATGTAAGTTATACAAAAGTCTTTTTCAGCATGAGCATAAAAGATTTCAAATTTAAATAATTTCAAATCTTTGATTTCCTGCTACTCCTGCAAAATGTGTCCACAAGAACAAGTAACACACATAATAAGGCCTTAAATCCAATCAACAAATAACTTTTCGTAGAACATTATTTTCTAACAAAAAATGTCAAGTGATTAACAAATAATTAACAAAAAATATTTGGTTGTTGTTCTGATTATATAAAAAAACACCAAAAAAAGGTTCTGTTTATCCCAAAACAGTTATCAGCATGTTTTAACCTGATCATTTACATATGTATTTTATGATGCTGACATACAGTATACACACTGGTATTATGTTTCCAGACCCACTTTTGTTGTGACATGATATTTAGAGTTGTGACATGATATTTATATAATATGTTATTTTATTTATCGATATCTAACATCCAGGTAAATGAACTGACATGTCTGTACAAACTAAGGAATTGCTTTATTGGGCGTCTATTTTTAACAAACGACCAGCTACCATACTGACCAACACTGTCCGGAATGGAGTGGAGAGTAACCCCGGACCCAGGAATGATGACCTTCCCCTCCACGTGGTTGCCGTCCACCTCCAGTGTTTGGCCGTTGAAGTTGACGCCGTGGTTGTCCCGGAAAGCACCAAGGCCAAACACGTGCCATGTGACGTGATCGCCGACGCACATGTCCAGTCCTTGCAAGTTGGCGAACGTTCGGCCATTTATCGCTGAAGTAGACATGAATTGTGTTAAATTGTTAAATGAACAGATTTAATCTGCCTTACGTGTAACAGTAGATAGGACACATTCTGGGTAGTTCAACCGGAATTACAGCGATCATTTGTTTTAATGGTGATCTTTGTATAGAAAATACTGATGGTCCAGTTCGACTGATGGCCCTGTTTGCTGGTACGTGACGGTCGTGATAGTGATGAGGGATGACACCCTTTATTATCTGGGCCATTTGACAGTTATTATTATCTGCAGCCTCGGAGTTCCTTTAATATCTCCACCCCGGGGGCCATTTACTAGGTCTTTACAATTCGAGCTCTTCGACTTCACTTACTGTGACCTATGACGAATTTACTGTCTGAGCCAATAGATACCTTTACTATCTGCACCCTCAGAACTCTTTACTGTCTTCGCCCTCAGACCCCCTGTGACGATCCTTACTGTCTGAACCCTTGGGTATCATTCACCATCTGCACCTTTCGATTCCCTTCACTATCTGAGCCCTATTACGACCTTAACTATCTGATTCCTTGGGCACATTTTATTCTTATCAGATTAAAGCGTTGGTCGGTGACCAGATTTAACTTCAGTCTTCATAGGTCGACATAAGATCGATTAATATCATATAAAATATTTCACACTCATCGGAGTCTACCATGGATGAGAGTCTTACATACATGATAGTCATTACAAGAATAATTTATCGCATCTCTTTACAACTCACAGAACATGGTATTTGAGAGTCTAAATCCAGCATTTGTCTTGTCGACGCTGGCGGGATTCAGAGCAAATCTCTGGATGTTCTCGTCAATGTACCACGACTCATTCTCGTTGAGGGTAAGGAACAAGAGGTAGAACTCCCGGTCTGTGGGGGACCCAGTACTGCTCCAGTGCCCCGGTCCAACCTGCAGGGGTGAAGGTCAACGTAATAAGTAAGCCGGTCACGTTAACACTGCACTTGAACAGATGGGTGCGTGATGAGACGGAAAGCACACCGCCACCACACTGTTTTATGACTACACATGTGGAACATAATAATTCCAAGAATATTTAGTAACAGCAGGATGTAATGTTACTCTGCGGCAGCTTTACGTACCTCCATTAATTTGAGTGCGATACGATTTGTATACGGGTACAGTACTTTCATTTTATAAGTTCACAATCTCAGGTAACGAAAATATCATATTGTTAGGGAGAAATATATAAGCTAGAGGCATTGTGCAGATCAGGTGAATGGTCTCTGATTATATTCATATATTTCTTGTAAATACATTAAATCGATGTATTGTATCTTATGTCATGTGACCTATCATGACACCGCTAATTTAGATGCGTACATTTTCTTTTGCGCATGTTTTAACCTGATCATTTACATATGTATTTTATGATGCTGACATACAGTATACACACTGGTCTTGTGTTTCCAGACCCACTTTTGTCACCTCACTTACTTCCTCATCCAACTCATTGACTTATTCGTTCACTCAAAGCGTTATGAAATTAGAAAAGAAATCGTAAGAACCGTGGTTCAGTACCCGTGAAGGTCCAGGTTAGAATTGGTCTTCAGCAACCCATGCTTGTCATAAGAGGCGACTAACGGGATCAGGTGGTCAAGCTCGCTAACGTGGTTAACACATGTTATCGAATATCAAATGTGTAAGTAGATGCTCACGCTGTTGATGACTGGATTGTTTGGTCCAGGCGATATTATTCACAGACGGCCGCCATATAGCTGGGAAATTGCTGAGTGCGGAGTTAAACTACAAACAAACCGCGGTCATACTAGTACTCATCAACTAAGAAAACTGACAAATATATACCTCGGACTTCCAGTCAAAGCTGTGTCCCTTCTTACAGATGACCACTGGTCCGATGAGGCCAGTGTACACGTCTCTGACGACGTCAACAGCGGAGTGGTACGTGTACGTGAGACAAGGAGGGTCGTCCTCGGTGGGTGACACGCTGTCGGTCACCTGGAACCTGTACACCACGGTCTCGCCAGGCCGGGCGAACTTACCAACTGTACCGTTCCCTGCACAGAAAGGAAACAGTGAATGGTGGTCTTCAGCACAGTAGAGACAACTGTATTATACAGATCTAAGTGTCGAAAAGCCGAACCGAGGTTATATAAAAACATCAAAACCCTTTCCGCCTCAACAAGAAACCTCTGCAAAAACAGTGGCTTGGCCTATATCTAGAGCATGTGTTTATGAATCACTATCCAATCGAAAGACATGAAATACTGGACAATCAAAATGGGAATTGAATGAAGTTTATGGAATTTTCATTCCCGCACCAAGCGAAGGATGTGATCTGGACAAGTTCTCTGTCTCTATAGACTGCTCAATGGATGACTGGTATATAATTCTACACGTCAACACATATTGATGGGCTTCAGATGAACAACATCCAATCAGACCCCAAAAGCACAACTGTCATAAGTGTCGAGGCACAGACATTCTATCGTAGATTTTCAATATTTCAGTTTGTTCAATAAATAAATTCGTATTGATTGGTTAATAAAAACGTAGCATTCCAGTTTAACAGGAAAAAATTGTATTGAAAATATAACGTGAACACATGAAGTTCTTATCATGAATAGTTTTGAGGACATTTCCATATCAGTGATCCCTAAGAGTTTTGTTCAGTGCAGTGCGAATGCAATAAATAGCCAATGCATGAGTTCAGTTAGGATTGTGTTGAGAAAACTTGTGTCAACCAAATTTGTTTGGACATTTCACATTTACATGTTCCTGGATTCGTCGTTCACATGATGTTTGATTTGGAGTACAACGCTAACCAGTTAATTCATTACTCACTGTTAGGGTCTCTGGTGACGAATCCCTCCTGTTCCTTGGGGAATGTGACGCCGTGAACGTACACGGAGTAGTTGCGGTCGGCTCTGTTGAGGAAGACTATCTCCACTGTGTCACCGACCTCGGCCTTGATGACAGGACCCAGCAGCCCAAGGTGAATCTGAAGAACGAATGATTCTGATCATCAAACTATGCTTTGTGTTGATACATACTAATTACTGATATCGCCCTACATGGGGTCCGAACTCGCACTGGAGGGTTAGTCTTGATGTCTTGTTAGGCGCAATCGTTGTTCAGAGTTATCTCCCTCGGGCGTTCACGGAACGGATTATTCAGATCAATTATTCTGAGACTATGTTTTGTGTTGGCGCATACAAATTACTAATATTTACAGGGTTTCTAATCCGAACTCACACAACACGGTTAGTCAAGGCATCTTGGTAGCCGTGATCGCAGTGCAGAGTTATCTCCCTTAGGCGTCAATGAGTCTGATCATCGGAATATGCTTTGTGTTGGCACATACAAATGACTAATATTACAAGGTGTGATATCCGAGCTCTCGCAGCACGGTTAGTTTGTCAGCAATTGGTAACCATTTACGACCTAAATTATCTCGGGCTTCCCTCTCCCATCAAGATGACACGCCATTACACAACTGATATACTGCGACGTTATAAACACCCACTCAGACATGCACGTACTACACAATTGAACCATAATACGATGGCTCATCAGACCATGTTTAACTGCCTTAGAGTGTTTTAGTTCCTAAAACATAAAGCGAGCTATTCAAATTTTGTATATTATTATTAACATGAACATTGATTTTTGTCATCGGGAAAACTATGACACAATCTCAATATTGTAACCATCTGATAGCCAGCTGTTTCTTACGAAACGCATTGGTTACACGTGACCTATTCTACCTTGGAAGTAAGTAATCCCTACAGAGTCCCCCCCCAAATCGTGTTAACATTAGTGAGACTGAACAAATATATCTTAAAGATTCGAAACCTTCCAAACGCTTTGGACACCCAAAGGTCAGTTAATTTTGTGACATTTTTATCAACTAATTCTTATCAGTATCACTGACGATGAAAAGCAAATGTAAGTTCCACTCCGGTATTCTGCATTCCTACAAGCAATGCAACCAACGTTGGTGTGTCGTACCTTGTCGGGGGTCCGCAGCTTCTTCTGCGTGAAGGTGGCGTCGGTGTACTCTATGTACAGCGCCTTCACGTACTGGCCGCCGATGGTGCTGTTGCTGCGGGTGAAGTATTTCGAGGAAGTGCTGTCGAGTAGAATATGAATGTGAGTAAAATGTTTAATCGATGGTCCCACGCCTTGGCAATACCCAGGGACACGCAGCTTACACCAACATACGTTCAGCAGGGTTGTACCAGGATCCGCTGAGTGTCTTAGCGAACCCCGGGTAGTCCTGATCATTATACTTTACAGCATCGTGCTAGTGTCCGTGTATTTTACTGAGGAGGAAAAAGTTAAACTGATAGTGAAACGTGATGTAAACCGGCCAATACCAAATTGCCAATTCTGTCATATCCATAAAAGAGAATGATTAAGTCACACACATTTTAATATATATGAGCACTCATAGGATACTGTAAGTTTATGTCAAGTCGTTTGTCCATTGTCATTTGACTGGTTTGTTTGTTGTTTCAACGCTGCACTCAGCAATATTTCAGCTATATGGCGGCTGTCCGTAAATGATTGAGTCTGGACCAGACAATCCAGTGATCAACAGCATTAGCATCGATCTACGCAAATGATGACATGTTTCAACCAAGTCGGCGAGCCTGACCACCCGATCTTGTTAGTTGCCTCTTACTACAAGCATGGGTGTCGGTTGTTGTTTTTTTAGATTGTTGATTGCAAATATACACTTTACATCTACTCATATATTTCTACCTTCAGTCGTATCAGACAGTCAGTCATCAGGTTTGCCACATCTCTGCTTATTGTATCTTCAGAGGATACATATTTCATGTCAAGCAGTCCTCCTGAGAGGGTACTTAAGTCCCCAAATTTTCAAAGTCAATTTAAACTTACCAGGATTTTTAAACGTAGTATTCTTGTTATTTTAATTTAAGCTAACATTTCTTACAATCGCCAGCAGCTGAAGGGATGGTGTAAATCCAACTAGGGTCCATGGAGGTAGCAAAGGTACTGTAAGTCCCCATGGCCCCTAGTATGGTGATCTACCTTCAGTTGTTGGCGATCTTTTGCCTGTTTTTATATTGTATTGTCCAAATAGTGCTATTAGTTTTAACTTTCCACGCTAGTTTTAATTCTAATTGCGATATTCTAGTTGTTTTACTGTCCTTCGTCGACAGGTTTTTATAATATACATATATTCCATTTCAATGTCAAATATGTTCTCGTCACGATATGGCTGCAATATTGCCGATGTGACGTTAAATAATAACTCACTCACTCACTCATGTCAAGCATCACCTGTTTGGGTTCGTCAGCGATCCTCCAAAGAACAAGTCCTGACCGGACGGACCATAGTCCCACACCACCTTCTCTGCTGCGATGAAGTACCGCTTGATTGGATGGATGTCGTCGTGGTAAGGGAGGTAACTCCCAGAATGTCCGCCATGGACAGATAACCCCGGCAAGTGGTCATGTGACAGGAAGTCAATGGCGGAATAGTAGGGCGTCAGGGAACCGTAACCGCCTTTCTGTCTCGGTTGAACGAGGACGAATGCTTGCATGCCATCTAATGATAATATAAACAACAATAACGATTGGGATGATGATAACACAGTGGCTTATTCTGAACGATCGCCATTTTTGTCAAGACAAAAGTTAATAACAGAGATAATTACATTTATTCAAGCACACACATGTGACGGAAGAGTTTATTCTTACAGATGCAGTCAGCCATGTTACAGCTTTGCTATCCCAACCTGTAAACACTATGTGCCGGGGGTTGATAGCATGAGCATCACATCGTAACCACTCGACTCTCATTAGTCGGCTCTAAAAGACGGGTTTCTGGATTAACGGAGTCCTGAATAAGGGGGATTCACTGTATCAACGAGCTTGTGGATCTCAGAGATAACAATTCTCTGCTGCTATTATAAAAGTTAGTACAAGATATACGTTGTCGGTAAGGGACAAGTTTAAAATATACTAACTTGAAGTTACAAATTAATCATGAGACACTATGTGTGGTCGTGGTGTGTTACTCACTTCTGTACCAGGTAGCGATTCTCGACGCAAACAGCCAGACGCCCGGATTTTCGGGTATCATCAGCGCTGACCGGAACGTAGCCGGATAAAACGTGACTGTGTTCATTCTGAAAAAAGGTAAAAAACAATATACATGTTGTATATTTATTGCTGATGAAGGACACTAAGAACTGATCATATACCAGTGTATGAAATAAGCCAAAAACCCAGCCAGACATCAGGGCTGGTAACTTCAAAATGTTACCAGTCCAAAATACCAGACAATCCAAAGAAAATAACTCAATTTTTGGTCACAATGAATAATTCCATAAACCTGAGACATGTATTTACTATCTTACAGTCTATTCACAACAGTCATTTTCAGAGAAATCCGACTCCGCGCATCGATAGGTGTCGCTGTTTTAGTGATAATTTATGTCAACGCAGTGCTTTGAGCTTGCGATTCAATAGTTTAATGTTCAAACGGTAATTGTCAAGTCTAAATGTAACGCTCAATTTGAAAAATAGATTATTATAGATTTGTAAAACATGGTGAATTTACTCAGATGTATGGAACATACTATCTATAGATTTTACCAGATCACCGGGCTGGCTAGCTGCAAATTTAGACCGTCCGTCAGAAATCTAGCCCGTCTCGAGCGGTCGGACGGGCCTCATTTCATACACTGCATATACTCATAGCTATATGCTTGCATGTCTCCATACACAAAAGTAAATTGCCCCAAAACACTGTTGACGAAACAAAGGGAATGTGACATAGGGCTATTTTCATTAGCAACGGATAAATATCAAGTGAATCGCTAAATGAAGTTGGACATCAGGTTTAGTTATACATTAGTAAAATTAATTGGGTCCGGTGGCATCAAGAAATATGCTTCACACATTGGCTGGCTCACTGTCCTTACTTATAATTTTACAATACGAACGTACATGCACTACAGCTTCGGCTGTGAAAAAGACCATCGGAGTATTCTAATTGGTGTAATTATAAAATTTGAATTTGAAATATTCTAACACATTGAAATTACTTTCAAATAATTTTAACGTCCCTCGATCTAGTTCTATTCATCATTCATTCCACAATTCAGAACCAATTGTGATACCAGATATGCCTGTATCTGTGAACAGGTCATTTCTAAACGGTAAATCTATCTGTGCAGCGTAACAACAAGCTATATATCTGCTTTAACATGGGTATAATGTTCGGCATTACTCAACCCGGTCTAAGGTGTCACAGTTATACTGTCCAGTTCGAACAATGACCGCTGGTCACCGCGTGGTAATGAAAGCCCCTGTTAATGTGGAACACCTTGACACAGTGAAACAGCAGGCGCCTGTGTCACTACTCAATGACCAGGCCTACGGGAAACTGTTGGACAGATTGCAGGGAGACAGGTAACCTGGGTTATGTTACAAGCTGGGTATGTTTATGATGTTAACTGATCGTTTTTATTGCTCTGCTCCACAGTAAACCAGGGGCTGTAGTTTAATTGTTGTATGTGGACCCAGGGGAGGCGGCATCCCCATAAAGTATAACAGATTATACCGTAGTCTCACAGTCCCTGGACCACATTAGTTTCCCTACTGCCTAGCCCTCCCGGCAAAGTTAAAGCCCTAGATGAAGCAAGTCTAGATTTCCCCAGGTTCGGGCTTCCCCTGAATGTCCTAACTCACTGGGGCTCCTTTTCAGTTTAATTGGGTTTATTTGTTACTATCAAAATTATGTATATTCAGGGACTAAGCGTTAGTCTACCGCTTCTTGGGTTCAAAGGAACTCAGTGTTTAGGTACCCCCTCGGTATGTTTTTAACGGATGCGTAAAGTTCCACTCGCTCAATACTGGATTATATTAGATTAGAAGATTCATTTGTTTCACAAGGATATAAGTGTTTCACTATTATTCTGGTAAACCATAGTTTCTCAAAAACGACTTTCGTTACATATTACGTGTGCGATTGAATGTTTTTTTACTGCCGCAGTCACCAAGCTATATATCGGCACCCTGTGAATAACAGGGCAAGCAGTCGGGACACGATGGTTTTCTGGTTTGAGATATATCTGTTAACAAATCTGAGATTTTACGGCGCTTTTATCAGCTAGCAGCACCACAACGCACGTGCTTGTTGTCAAACGCCGCACTCTGCAATTGCCTGGCTACATGACGGCGGTCTGTAAAGAAGCGAGTCTGGACAAGACAATCCGTTGATTGGCATCATGCAAATCTATCTACACAATCAGGATATTCATCAGCAAAGTCAGCGAGCCTGACCACCCGACCCTGTTGGTCACCTCTTACGACAAGCATGGGTTGCTGAAGACAATTCTAATCCGTATTCTATTATATTGTTTTTAGCTTAACACCGCACTCAGACATATTGCAGCTGTAAATAATCGAGTCTGAACCAGACAATCCAGTGATCAACAGCATGAGCATCAATCTACGCAATTGGGATACGATGACATAGGCCAACCAACTCAGCGAGCCTGACCACCCGATCCCGTTGGTCGCCACTTTCAAGCTGGGTTGCTAAAGACCAATTCTAACCCGGATCCATCTTTACGGGTGAAAACACACAATAGCAACACAACTCACACATTACACACATGGATGATCGACCCCTGTGAATAAGCTCACAGATACAAACTGCGACTTTACCTGTGATTTTGAACCAACAAAACTTGTCCGTTGATGTGGGCGCTCTGTAGACCGACGTTGAGAGAGAAGAAATGCCACACAACTCTCGCCGACCTTCACCACGAGGCCCGGGAGGTTGCCGTACACGTAGCCGTTTATGTGAGCCATGGTGTTTGAGGCAGCAAAGGCAGCGTCCTCGTTGTCGAGAAGTCGTGTACACTCGGTGACGTTCATGCAGTTGTTAATGCTGGCTCTAATACACCAACTCTTTTGTTCGTCGACGACGTCTTGGTAGATAATGAACTCCTTGTCAACGTCACGTCGACGGCCACTGGAGTCGAGAGTTCCTGGAAAGTAGTCATAACACCTGACACAAGGACCTGGTTTAAATATGATCTTTTTAATTGGAGAGGGGTGGGGGTGTGAGGTGTGTGGGGGTGGGGTGGGAGGGGTGACAACCATTATTGGCATGAGTATAGTATTCGCGCTTATGTTTCTTCGCTGAGTAAAAGAAATACAATGTTTCTCGTATACGTTTCTCTAAAAATTGAAGAGAGGTAACATTTTAAAGTATTTTGTTGATGAGTGAGTGAGTGAGTATGACTTTACGCCGCTTTTAGCAATTTTCCAGTAATATCACAGCGTGGGACACCAGAAATGGGCTTCACACGTTGTACCCATGTGGATAATCGAACCCTGGTCTTTCCGGACCTTCAGTGCACGATTCACCATTAACCTACCCCGCCGTCTTTGAAGAAATGAGGGACACTCTTTTAATCACCAAGAACACCAACTCAAAAGGCCACACATCATACACGGCTGTTCGAAACAATGTCCGTCGTCAAGAATGTAAGACGCGGAAAATGTGAACATATATTTTGATTATGCATAACAGTTACTGACTTTGACGGTTTAAATATACACGTCAACGTGAATAGAACAATTATTTACGATTATCCCATAACCCGATTCCATTTGGCGTAAGCTAAAAACAGCAATGAAAACTAAATAGATGGATCAGTGAAAATGACACAAAATGTGTCCCCGTTGTGTAGTGCCACTAGTGGATAGATCGTCTTCCCCAGTATGCCGTACCAAAAGTGGGTACTTGATGTTACCCTGCCTTGCATTCCGTGAATATAGGAACAGAACGAACACTGGTAGCCCAGAGTCAGTTTGAAGTCTCTGAGTTTCCATTCCTAGTACTCACTCCTCAAAAAACATACAAACACGTACCTCTCTTGCACGTGAGGAACATGCCGACGAGACCGGCGTCTACGTCCCTGGTAGATACACGATGCGAGTGGTAGGCCCAGGGGAGACAGTTCTCATCCTCGGCCGTCGGGGCAAACGTTTCTCGAACAACCCACTCATACGCATACACCTGGCCAGGGGCCACAGCATCGTCCAGCTTGTCATTACCGCTTGTGTTGTCCTCATAGAGCGCCCCTGTAGTTAAATGAGTGATTGAGTGAGTTTAGGTTTAAGCTTCTTATAGTGAGTGAGTGAGTATGGTTTTACGCCGCCTTTAGCAATATTCCAGCAATATCGCGACGGGGGACACCAGAAATTGGCTCCACACATTGCACCCATGTGGGGAATCGAACCCTGGTCTTCGGCGTGACGAGCGAACGCTTAACTACTAGGCTATGATGTCAATGGCATGTCTGCTCACAGTACAACCCCTAGAAAACTATGTACTTTAGAAACTGTCCGCATTAACGACTATCCGATTTAACAATTCAGGTCAATATTATGCCTTCGCCAATACACAGAAAGTTCTTTTCAAAGCAATTTTATATTGTTAATGAAACCTTCATATTTTATTATTCAAAGCTGCTTATGCGCCGTAGAATAAGCATAGTCTTGATTAATGGTAAAAGATTCATTAAGACTGCATAAAATTAACAGTTAATCCCGATGGTGTATGTATGGGTTACTCACACATACTGTGAACGTTACACACAAATACAAGTTAACTGATTTTTAACTCCTGACATCGGTTCACCATTTCTTTGTCAGATTCCTTGCATACTGTAAAATTATATTTAACTTTTGAAAACAGGAAGCAATTCTAATAAATGATCTCGTATTTAAATTTATAAGCCACTGCATATAAATCTTAATATTTCCTTTACTTCAGAATATTTTATGGTCCTGCTCCAAGGATATTTCTTGATTGGTTTACGGATTTTGTCTCAAACATTTGACGATCGATAGAGAGATATAGATACAAACATAAAGTCAGACCCTTCAAATTATTCACACAATGTAGGGAATCAAACCCGGACCTTTGGCATTACTTTAACCGCTAGGCTGCCTCGACCCTACATTTCTACACGCATGCCTGTTCCAGCCGCAGTCACCCACCTTCAGCATTCTTCAAATAGAAGATTCCATGAGAGTGTAGGGTGAAGGATTGGTTGCATCTGAAGGCCAGGTTGGCGAATCTGATGAGGATTGTGTCTCCGACCTCCGCCCTGAACACGGGACCAAGGTAGCCCAACCATGCAGGCCTCGGAGCTTGATACAAGAAGCTGTTATCTGTGTATTCACGATATACAACCTTTGAGTATTTGCTGCCTATACGATTCGGACCTCGTTGGATGAAGTTATTTGCAACTCTGGAATAGAGCATCAACGAATGAATTCAAATGAAATATTTCAAAGGTCTAATTACAAATAGAAGTAAAAGGAATGACCATGGCGTTTTGAAGTATTTTCAAAATAAAACGTCCGAGGACGTTTCATATATAGGATAGCAAAATACAAGGATTGAGCACAAACTAGATGCATGTATTTCAAAGGATATGCTAAAAGGATAAATGGTGAGTCAAGTAATACGTTTGCGAAATACATGCACTGAACGAATTCAATATAAACACTTAATGTAACAGTAAACTCGTGGTATAATCACATGAGTTATATATCCTGTAAACTATAATTTGTCCATTGTTGTCATTGATAATCGTAAACGGGTAATTGCATAACTGCATGAATAGATACTCCCCTATACGTCTGAAGGACAGTGTATCGATAGTTGTTGTATCTCATATGTTATATGATACACCGTGTATTGAGTCCTTTGATGGATTTGCATAATGATGCTATCAACGGGTTGTATATTAAAGTACGGAACACACAGTCTGAATGATAATCGAATAGTTCCCAATGGTATTGTATTTTTCACGCTGATATGAGGTGAGGTGAGGTGAAATTGGGTTTAACGTCACGCTTGAGAATATTTCGCTCATATGACGACGTGCATGCGTGTGTATGTGTATGTGCGGCTGCTTGTACCAGCCCAGACTTAAGCTGGTTTTATAGTGCTAGCCCACTGAGATACCATGCCGCAGTGAAGCATGAATACCCCACTCAGACACATTATACTGACTTCGACCCGACCAGTCCTTGTTGTACCCATTAATGCCGAGCGCCAGGCAGGGACCAACAAGTACCATATTTTAACGTCTTTTGGTATGACGCGTTCGGGGATTGAACCCGCGACCTTCCGCTCTCCGGGCGGACGCTCTAACCATTACACCGCGGAGGCGGTCGTTGATATGAGACATGCATAACCTACATGTATCCTTTCTATGAAATATGCTTTCATAATGAAGATGCCCTGAAAGATAAAGATAGCGCTTCCAGTTTAATATAAACCGTAAATGTCTAGAACGCCTTCATCCCCTGTCCGTGAATCAAGATACGATTAAGTGCTCGATTTATGAACAACACGTGTCAAAAACGTAGTGTGAGGTGCTATATATTATTCACCAGCTGAATGTTCGTCTGCACACTTCAGCGTGTAAATTCGGGAACCAGCAGGTACATCTAGTCGAATCAATATGCTGTTTTATACATAAATCTATACATTCCTCTAAACCCCAGCTACCGACATGTAAAAGTTATATTTGCCAGACTTTCGGTATTCATTGTATTGTAATAGTCAAATAGTCACAAGTTCAGATGATAAGGATTCGATTTGAGCTGCAGCTGGGTGATCAAACCCGCAAAGTCTAAAGACACCTCAATATACCAGTGAGAAAGCATTATAATTCGACGCAAATGAATTAAAAGCAGGGAACATTTTCATTTCAAAACTAAACAATTTCGAACATTTATTGGTTTTGCAAAGGAGATGTTGCAAATTGTCGGTGAAACTCAGAATATGCATGTAGACTAGTGAGCGGAAGTCAAGGAACACTTTGTTTGTTCTGAACATATTTTCACCTTTACTTACTATAATTAACTTGTTATGGTCATTATCTATATGTGATATGACGATAGTTTTACTTGTATTGTTGTATATGAGGACGAGCTCAGTTGTTACATGATCCCTTACGCCAGGGTAACCGCTTCGATAATAGCTCAATGAGTAGTTTGAGGAACGCATATTTAACTCTAAAACAAGCGTTTTGTCTGAATAGTTTTGAAACCAAAATCATTTTCTCTTATTGTGTCATTGCGATAGTCGAAATTGATTGTCCATCATGTTCTCGTTATAACCACTACTTCCGGGAAAACACATCAACAGATTAAAAAGGTGTTTACTCATACTCTCTCTTTTTCGTTTAACGCCGCACTCATATTCCAGGTATATGACAGCGGTATGCAAATACTCGAGTCTGGACCAGACAATCCAGTGATTGACATCATGAGCATCGATCTACTAACTCATACTCACGGATCATTGTTGACAAGGTTGCCCAGTGGAGCATAGTCCCAGTCAATGTCGACAGCAGCTATGTTGATTACTCGGGTTCTTCCAATAGTCTTACTCGTGTGAATAGGATGCCCATAACTAAGGTGAATTAGTGAATAGAGGACTATAGCTATCCACATTCTGACTGTTAACAGAGACTTAACCAACTAAAATGCTTGTTTAAAGCAAAACAAATAGCAAAGGTCTGTTCGAAAGAGTATTTACAACATGATGCGGATGTAGATGCTGGTATATGCTGGTATAAATATTCCCCGTGCCTTATATACTTGAGTAGAACAACAGAAAGGTAATAAATATACCACATTCTGTGTCCACTATTCACCAATAACAAGCAGGTGTAGTGATGTTCAATGAATCCTTTGAATATCCATACTTTAGATCTAAATAATTTTCACCGCTATCTCATTATGCGGTCATTGTTTGGAAAAGCCTGTGCTTATAATCTATAGTGATGGACATTAATATCCTTCTGCAATGGTATTTGTTAGTCCGATTAATGCAGACTCGGAAAGTCATTCAATTCGTTGTTATAACCGCAGCTGGGATGTTCCGTTATCTACTGGCTTAAGCAGTAGGCGGAATGAATGTGATATTCTCTTACATTGAACACATGGCAATGTGGGATGGTTATTGGCGCTATACTTCATCACCTGATCTGTGGATGCAATAGTATACATAATATGGATTTGCCGTGATTGATGTTTACGAGAGGGTAATTACACTTACTGCTGAAGTGAATGAAAGGACATTTGAATCCTACGGTGATTTTGTTCTCTTTGTGGAGCCTGTAAATATCTTACATGTAATGTCAAACCAGCCGCCTGCTGAGGTAAACCATTAACTGGTGGGATGTTGAATTTGATATCCGGGATGACGTTATGACTCGAAGGGCGTGCAATTGAAGGATTGATGTGTTAGGCATTAATTTGTATTCAGTGTCTGTGGCAAACCTTAGCAATAGATATTTGCGGGAAGAAATGAATTCTAAAGAGTGCCACAGGCTGTGTACTGTGTGCCTATGCTATGTAGATTCAGTAATAGTATATGTCCTCTGTTTCATGAACTATGAGTCAATCCAAAAAGTTCATAGTAGTAAATGCGTTGATCTTCACGAGCTATGTGTCAATCCAATGTCAGTTCATAGTAGTATATGCGTTGATCTTCATGAATGAACTATGTGTCAAACGAATGCAAATTCATAGTAGTATATGCGTTGATTTTCATGGACTATGTGTCAATGCAATGTAAAATCATAGTAGTATAAACGTTGATCTTCATGGACTATGTGTCAATCGAATGTAAAATCATAGTAGTATATGCGTTGATCTTCATGGACTATGTGTCAATCGAATGTAAAATCATAGTAGTATATACGTTGATCTTCATGAACTATGTGTCAATCGAATGTAAAATCATAGTAGTATATGCGTTGATCTTCATGGACTATGTGTCAATCGAATGTAAAATCATAGTAGTATATATACGTTGATCTTCAATCGAATGTAAAATCATAGTAGTATATGCGTTGATCTTCATGTATGTAATCGAATCGAACTATGTAATCGAATTAAAATCATAGTAGTATATGCGTTGATCTTCATAACTATGTGTCATATGCGTTGATCTTCATGAACTATGTGTCAATGCAATGTAAAATCATAGTACATTGTATATGCGTTGCTGTTTATGGACTATGTGTCAATCGAATGTAAAATCAGTAGTAGTATATTCCTTCATTTACACGAACTATGTGTCAATGCAACTAAGTGGCATATATTCATGTAAATGTGTCATAAGTTGAATAACGATATATATCATTTGTTTCATGAACAATGTGTCAATTCAATGTTAATTCAGTAGCAATAATTACGATTTCCTCCATGTATTATGTGTGTACTCAATTTAAGTTTTGTAGCAGTATCTCGTCACGATATACCCGAAATGTTGCTGATGCTGACTTTTCACTCACTCACTATGTAGCAGTACATGTCATTCAATTCATGTATCATTCCAAAGTAAATTCAGTAGTAGTATTTACATGACATTTGTTTCATGAACTAAGTGTCGATCCGTTGTATTATGAAACACATTATGCATCAGTATAGCCAATTTGTTTCATGGACTATTTTTCAATCCAGTATGTTATGACTGCACATTATGCATCAGTATAGATAATTTGTTTCATGGACTATTTTTCAATCCAGTATGTTATGACTGCACATTATGCATCAGTATAGATAATTTGTTTCATGGACTATTTTTCAATCCAGTATGTTATGACTGCACATTATGCATCAGTATAGATAATTTGTTTCATGGACTATTTTTCAATCCAGTAAGTTATGACTGCACATTATGCAACAGTATCTTAGCCTAAGAGATTTGTTCCATGGACTATTTTCAATCCAGTATGTTATGACTGCACATTATGCAGCAGTATAGGTAATTTGTTCCATGGACTATTTTTCAATCCAGTATGCTATGACTCCACATTATGCAACAGTATATTACCCTATTTCAATTGTTTAAGGGACTATTTTTCAATCCAGTATGTTATGACTGCACATTATGCAACAGTATAGGTAATTTGTTTGATGGACTATTTTTCAATCCAGTATGTTATGACTGCACATTATGCAACAGTATAGGTAATTTGTTTGATGGACTATTTTTCAATCAAGTGTGTTATGACTGCACATTATGCAACACTATAGGTAATTTGTTCCATGAACTATATTTCAATCCAGTATGTTATGACTGCACATTATGCAACAGTATATTAGCCTAGGTCATTTGTTCCATGGACTATTTTTCAATCCAGTGTGTTATGACTGCACATTATGCAACAGTATAGGTAATTTGTTTCATGGACTATATTTCTTTGTAGTGTTCAAATATTTTTAGTGTTGAGGTCTGTCTGCCTCCTTAATGTAGTAGTGAAGGTCCTGGTTAGAACTGATATTCAGTATCCCATGCTTGTCGTGAGAGGCGACTAATGGGATCGGGTGGTCAGGCTCGCTGAGGTAGTGAAGGTCCTGCTGACTTGGTTGTTACATGTTATCGTATTCCAGTTGCGTAGAACGATGTTCATGATGTTGATCACTGGATTGTCTGGTCCAGATTCGATTATTAACAGACCGTCGCCATATAGTGCGGTGTTAAACAACCAACCAATCTTAATGTAGTGTATAGAACGTCCGGAGAGAGAAGGGTGGGAGTCAGTATACAGTTCTGATTGGTGTATCTATGTTAAACAGCGGCATGATATTCCCACTGGTTTGCACTATCATGTTTGTGTCATTTTCAGAGACCACCAAATATGGGTGTATATTTTCTTTTAAACGTCAGTTTACATGCGATATCATATTCCTTTGCCTTCTAGTTTACGTAAATAGTATGCGGTAAATATTATCTTCATCCCGTGTTTCCTATAACAACCAACATTGGAAATATATTTGTTTGTTTTTTATTATAATAATAAATGAAATTAAATATCAAGTGAATGATATCAGTGAACATAAAACAATGTGATATCATATAAAACACTTTTGGAAAGATGCACATCATCAATCACAACACATATCATGACACGTTTGTATCTAATAAATATTCATATAAAATCATTATCACAGAATATTCTTGGATCATATAAATATTTTTTCAAAAACATAATATTCCAAAATGGATTTGACAAGCAATCAAGACATGGGACAAAACACTAATAAAATATATAAAATCTGATTAAGCATCCATTTCATACAAATATACAAAGTAAAAGTTATGATTATGCAAAATTGAGTTTGATATTAATAATAATTCTGCTTTATCTATGTCATAAATGTTGCAAACATATCTTTAACATTTTAAATGAGAGATGACGGTTGAAAATGAGCTCTATTCGATTGTTTAGAGATTATATTATATTAGAAATTAACATTCATAAGTCATGATATTCTATTTGACTTGATTCATACATCAAACTACATGTACTCTAATTTCACCAAACTACTAAACGACGACGTGAACTCACTCACACACTCTACTCGCAAAACATGATGGATTTCGAGTTTCTAACATCTTGAACGAACACTATCTGACTGCTTTTGATAAATACGGAACATGCATACTCTTTTATACAATGAATGAATGACTATGGCGTGAAACAGCTGATAACAGCAACATATATCCACAAAACTATTGATTTGTCTACGATAAACAACCGTTCGTTCAGCTCAGAACTCTGAAATACATGTATGTTAACATCACATGAAATATTATGCGATACCGGTGATATCGGACGCTACAAGGGGCGGTGGGTTAGCAGAGTGGTTAAAGCGTTCGCTCGTCACGCCGAAACCCCGGGATCGATGCCCCACAAGGGAACAATGTGCGAAACCCAGTACTAGTGTCCCCCGTCGCGATATTGCTAAAAGCGACGTAAAACTAAACTCACTCAGACGTTACAGTAAGTGAAGTGTGTACCGGCCCGACCTTCTTGCTTTGACACCCACCCCACCCCCCATTTTTAGACACGCCGTCATGCAATTGAAATACTGTTCACAGCGTTAAACCTAACTCGCTCACGTTGAGTACTATGGTGCCGGGCGAATGGTATACGTCACCTCCATGCCGCTCTTCACATGCTCACTGAAGTGACAATGCAGGATCCAGGTGCCCGGATTATCCGTTAGCATTGTCACCACCTGCGTCGTCGAAGGGAATACCTCAATGACGTCACCTCTGTGAACTTTGTCGGACCTCGAGAGGAAAGTCTGCCCGTGGAAATGAACAGGGTGGTAGTCAAATGTTGATCCAAGTCCAAGTATGAACCAATCAACGCAGTCTCCTTCATCCATGACCAGACCATCCAGGTTACCATAGATACGACCGTTAATGGAATTCATGGAATTGCTTGCTCGGAACTCGGCGTCTTGAAGATCCGTTCTTTGTGGTGCGAACCTGTCAACATTGTCGTTAAGGTACCAGCTGTCGTTTTCATCAAACACGAAGAAGAGTATGGCGAATTCCCGATCGACGTCACGTCTTGCATCATCGTAACTCATCGTCCCGGAGCTGCAGATGATCAACGGGCCAACCAGCCCGCTGTTCATGTCCTTGACAGAGTTCACGGACGAATAATACATCCAGGATATACAATCAGGGTCGTTCTTTCCGGGACCGGCTCTTTCAGGCACCTCCCATCTGTAGGTGAATGTTTGACCCGGAAGTACTCCGTCGTCACCTTTCTGACTGGTTCCGTCGTTGTAAAGCGACCCCTCATTGGCTTTGTCGTACCGGACACCTTGAGGATGAATGGAGTAGGGTCTTGTGGCCTTATTCTTGAAAACTACCTCAATGATATCCCCGACCTCACCTCTTATGACAGGTCCGAGGACAGCAAGGTGTTCCTGTTTCGTTGTGCGGGCTTTACGAGTGTTGAATGTGGCATCTGTGTACTCTCGGTATACAGCCTTCTTGTATGTGCTACCAATGAAATAGTCGTCATCCTTCACGAACAAGTGCCCTGGTCTGAAAAATAAGGGAAGAGCATTCGGAGTCGTTCCTAGAAGTTAATTCTTGATTGTGCTTGTGTGTGCACACAGCAAATATGCCAGCTATAGGGCGACGCTCTGTAAATAATCGTGTCTGGATCAGACAATCCAGTGATCAACAGCATGAGCATCGATCTACGCAATTGGGATACGATGACATGTGCCAACCAAGTCAACGAGTCTGACCGCCCAATCCCGTTAGTTGCCTCTTACGACATGCATGGGTTACTGAAGACAAATTCTAAGCCGGATCATCACGGGTTTCATTCCAGCTAATTAACGACCCCTTGTCAATAATAGATTCTGGACCAGTTAGTGATTGAGATCATGCAAAGCGTTCCTCGATAAGATTAGACAGTAAAAATAATAATAGACTCCAAGGATATGCAGCTTCTTCCATATTGTAACATGTTAGAATTTGAAGAATGAGCCAAATATCTGCATGACAGATATTTATGTCAAATACAGTATTATTCGAGTTATATTTTACATTCTAATATTTCATGACTATGTGAATAGTTTGTCCTGTTTTAGTTACTATCGATGAAATCACTTTCAAAATACTTAATATATAAACTGAAATTCTGTATCTACACACATGAAAGCTAAGAAGATATTTAACCATACATTTAGATCTGTTATAGAATACCAACCTATTTCAAATGTATTAGAAATAAACATTTCGTTTCAATTAGACTTACAAAGAAGGATCTGTCAAATTCTCCCCTGTCACGAGATCTCGCTGTATCGGAGCATAGTCCCAGTCTACTTCCTCGGCAGCGATGAAATACTTCCGGGTTTTGCTGGCTACAAAAGGTTTCGGCCGGGTTCCACACGACTTGACGTCATACAGAGCCACCATCCCAGTCTTAAAGTGGAAGTTAGTCCGACATACAAGTGCCCATTTACCTATGAGAAAGATAGAACAGGATCTATATAATGCTGCAAAAATATTTCTTTGACAGACAGACAGACAGACAAATATTTGATTGTCATGCACAGGACTATGAATACATGTCATTTAGATAGTGGTTAAATGTAACATATGTTATATTTGGGATTTTCTCAGAAAAGTACAGATTCTAGTACTTTTGTTAGGTTGGTTCCAATCCAGGATTCGAACCTGCACTCTCAGAGTGAGGCACCTAACGATGATCTCCAGCACACAAAGTCAGTCATCTAACCCACTCAGCCACCTGGGCGTCCATACGAAATGGAAGTCTGACATAAACAGGACTTACCAGAGCCATGTTGATTAAAAAGGGGTGATAAAGTATAATCATATCAGGATTAATTTTCATAAAATTGCCATATATATCTGAAACTGGACCTTTGATTTAAATGATATCCCTCATAACAACCCCGGCATGAACCAACTCTCAAGACTCGATTATTTTGTCAATAATGATATTACATCTGAGTTGTGGAGTAAGTGAGTGAGTGGGTATGGTTTTACGCCGCTTTTAGCAATATTCCAGCAACATCAAGGCAGGGGGCACCAGAAATGGGCTTAACACTTTGTACCTATGTGGGGGATCGAACACGGGCCTTCGGCGTGACAAGCGAACGCTTTAAGCACTAGGCTACTGAACACCCGTCTGTGTTGAATTTTCTCATCGAGATAACCACATAATTCAGGAACGTTTCCTAAACAAAATGATGAAATAACAGGTCCCGATAAACCCGTTTTAACACTGACAAATGAGCCACTGACCAACTCTATCTGGTGTCGACAACAGGGTGACGGCCGAGCCAGGGATGATTTCTTTGCCCTCCACTTTTGTCCCAAGGAAATCCAGCGTTTGTCCGTCAAAGTTGACGCCGTGCATGTCAAACCATCCCCCAAAGCCGATGATGTGCCAGGCAACTTCATCTCCCTGGCACATCTCCAGACCCTCCAGGTTGCCAAACATTCGTCCATTAATGGCTGTCATAAAGAAAGGAACATATCATAGTCAATACTCTATTGGTGTATCACTGCAGGTGCTTCTGTTTATGAATTCCACACATAGGCATGTAAACAACTCTATTGATACCCGTTCCTGTCAATAGACATCAAAACACATACCTGATTCTAAATGAATTGAAATTAATGCAACCGCTACTACTTCTGATACTACTACAACAGCTGCTTCTACTACTACTACTACTATTACTACTACTACTGCAGCTGATACTACTACTACTACTGCTACTACTGTTGCTGCTACTAGTAATACTGATAGTGCTGATACTACTGCTAACCCTACTACCGCTACTACTAGTAATGCTAGTACTACTACAGCTGCCGCTGCTACTACTGCAGTTGCTGGTGCTACTACTACTACTACTGCTGCTGAAGCTGATGCTACTACTACAGCTATTGCTCTTTCTACTGTCATTCTCTACTACTACTACTACTACTACTGCTGAAGCTGATGCTACTACTACAGCTATTGCTCTTTCTACTGTCATTCTCTACTACTACTGCTACTACAATTGATGTTACCACCACCGCCACTACTACTATTACTACTACCGCCGCTGCAACAGCCTCTGCTACTGCTTCTACTTTAACAATATCATTCCGCCACTGTCGCTGCCAGTGTGGCTACTACTGCTACAGTGGAATCTGAATAAACTGAATTTGTATAAGAACAAACGTTTAGTCTGGTTTTAACAGAACCAAACTAGTCAGAAGCCGGTTATACTGTTACCACTGTATATCATATATCATGTTACATATCTATTCAACGTTCTCATGTCTAACAGACCGACGATCCTCTTTTGTCACCTACCATGTTTTCGGTTTGAGCCGAAGAAGGCAGGGTCATCCTTGTTGACGGACGCTGGGTCCGTTGTGTAAGTCTGAATGTTGTGGTCAATGTACCATGACCTGTTCTCGTCCACTGTCAAGAACAGAAGGTACAGGTGGGTCAGACGACCGTACCAGGTGGGCTGACTCCTCCTGAACAGGAACCCGGACTGAAAGAAAAAGACGTTCGTGGGTGAAATGATGTATTTTAAACAACCGTTTTAACAACACCAAAACCTGTATCACTGGGCAGGCGAGAATGACCATGGGTTTATCACATATTGTAACTTTATGTGGAATGGAAGGTGGTCTTCTTGGCGAACGGTCAACTAACAGATCACACTAGTTTTTCCAAGTTTTTTTTCTGTTGCCTGTTGGGTGACAACAATTTCAAATTTGTTAACAATGCAGTCAGTTTCCAAAACACGTACCCGTGAAGGTCCGGGCTAGAAATGATCCTAGGTAACCCATGCTTGTCGTAAGAGACGACTAACGGGATCGGGTGTCAGGCTCGCTGACTTGGTTGACACCATGTCATCGGTTCCCAGTTGCGCAGATCGAGTGCGGCGTAAACCTAAACTCACTCACACACTCACCAAAACATGTTCTGTATCTCTAGGTTAATAAGGAAATTGTGTAGATAGAAATATGAAGAAATTGGTCTCTAATGAAAATGTCAGCCGTGTTCTTTGTACCACTGTCCCATTGAAACATACGTTTCTAGCAATACGTTTGTATCACAGATAAAAACGATACACAATTACGATAATATTAGCATCACAGTGTCATATTTTACTGACTGACCGTTCGTTTTCTAAGTTGGCCTCTATTGCAGACGAGGAGTGGGCCAAGGAGACCGGAGTGCACGTCTCTGATCGGGTCAGCCGCGGAGTGATATGTGTGGGTCAAACAGTCGAGGTCATCTCGTGAAGGTCCCATGATCTGGGGGACCCGAAACTTGTAGGTGATTGTCTCCCCTGGCTGAGCTACTTTTCCGGTTGTTTGATTTGCTGAAACGAAAGATTCAAATGTCATAACGCATGGTAATGGAGATTCAAAAGCGGGAGATCTAGAGAGCATGTTGTTTAAGGCCATAATATTAAATCTATATCAAGGCAATGAATATAATCAATCCCAATGAATCCCGGTTTCAGAAAACAATGACATGCTCTTTGCAAGTTCTCATATTGTGGCCATCCGATCCTCATTTTAGTCGGTTCTTAAGACAAGCAAAGGGTTACGGATCCCCGTGCAGGTCATAAGCCGAGTAAATCGTGCCCCTAATGATATTCTCTGTAAGGACTGGGTTCTCTTTAGTTGAACGCATACGCAGATTTTGTCAAATGCGTGGTAATGTGTTTATGGTTTCTGGGACAATCCGTGACTACATAACTCAAAAACGTTTGTGGGTATTTTGAGCGAATATACTCCAAAACTTCGAAGGGTATGTGTGTAAAGTCTTGTCGTGTTTACCTTACGTCGGAGTGAAGCTCAAAATAACACCTGTAAACTTTCTACATGGCTGCATTTTTATGAAACGTAACAGTAAGTGCAAAGAACTAACACGCAACGGATCTTAGCATCTACGGGGCGTAACTCTGTACACTGACAGGGACACTTGGTGCCTATAATGTCAATTAAAACTGTTTGAATCAAGTCTGATGTTTAGACAAAAACTTCACACTTACTCTTGGGATTGTTGTAAAGGAACCCTTCATTTTCTTTTGTAAACATAACTCCGTGTGGATATACCGAGTACTGCCTATCGGCGTTGTTGCGGAAGACGATCTCGATTGTCTCCCCTTCCTCGCCTGCAATGACAGGTCCCATGAATCCCAGGTGTTTCTCATTATCCTTCCTTCCTTTCTTCGTCCGGAAACTATCGTCAGTGTACTCCACGTAAACAGCCTTTCTATACACTCCCCCGATGCGGTCTGGCCCTCGTGTAAAATACTGGCTCGCAATGCTGAAAGGTTAAAAATTCAAACTTAAATTGCTAGTCATGTTCCATCGAATCTAGGTACTATTCTACACTCTGCTAACTTAGTCTTTATGAATGCTCGTAAAGCGGTTACTAATCATCTTAATTAAGCACATACAATGTCCCTGTTTTAAGGGTTTAAATTTTGGAGACAACCCTTTTAAGCACAGCTGCATTTAGGACCGCCATTATCTGCGTTTACATCATGCATACAATAGTCTCAACGTAATGTTATCAAATAATTAGAAAAAATGGAAGGTTTACCCTGCTGAATCGCCAGTCAGATTTCCTCCATTGAACAAGTCTTTACCGGAAGGACCATAATTCCACTCAATGAGTTCCGCAGCAAGATAGTATTTCCTGTTCCGGGATTTGCCGTAGCCCCACGGAAGACGCGGTGATTCGAACAAATTAATGCTTCTCTTCCCTCGCCAACCTCTGCGAGGGTTTACATTCAGGAATGCGTGCATGCCACCTGGTGGGGATGAGAAGTATATCCTTTACATAACGAGAATTACACGATCACTGTTGACTTCCAAATACAAGAACATTGTGTAATTCTATAGGAGTCTGGACAGTGTATGGTTGAAAATAGTATCAGACAGCAATATTCTAGTAGTTTAACGCAGAATATCATTCACCGTTGGACCAAAAAATAGTGTTCACAAGGACTTTACACTTGGATTCGCTCGCGAGGTCTGCCAGATTCCGTAAACCTACGTAAATCTACCTAATGGTGCCTACCGCATTTATCTTACGAATATCACTGCGCGGAACACTAGAAATTCGCTCCACATCTTGTACCCTCATGGAAAATCGAACCCGGGTCTACGGCGTGACGAGCGATGTTCGAAAATCTGTACGCCCCTTTAACTTCTCGCATTTAATGTAGGCGGTAAAACATAATTCCTTCCATTTCGTTGATTAAACTCTAAAAGAATGCTTAATATTCTACACAAAAAGGAAGGTAGTGATATTACAAGATTTCCACCTACCGTCGAATGCCTCGGCGATTCTGCTCGACAGCAGCCACGTGCCGGTGTTGATGGGTATCATACGAGCTGATACAAACGTAGCTGGATAGAAGGTAACTGTGTCCACTCTGTAACAGACAGACGACAGACAGTTGTATGATATTATCTGTTCAGATTGTATAGTTTAAGGCCAAGATTCTTGGCCTAGATTTTCGAAGCTCTCTTAGCGCTAAGATAGCAGCAAGTGCCATACATTAACATTAACTCACGACTATCTTAGCGCTAAGAGAGCTTCGAAAATCTAGGCCCTGAACTTTACACATAATACTGGAGATTGGATCCGAACCTGGTTAGAATCAGATCAACGCAACACACGAGGAAAACTAAACCCAAGAATATATCTCAGAGAATGTTTTGTTGCCGGAGGTGAGATTCTCATCCCTAACCATCTTCCTTTTGGTAGTTTCTGAAACCCGCTTAAATGGGAAACTTAGCTTCTGCAATTGACATTCAGATGAATTTTAGATCATATTGTTGACCCAACACTGCTCACACAAACCTTTTAAACTGTATCAGTTAATAATCCACTGATCACATACAAACAGTTGTTTATGGATTGCTGTTTAATGCTCAGCAATATTCCGGTTAAATTGCGATGTTCTGGACACAATAGAGAATTGACGAGACAACCTTGTGATTGGCATCAAAAACATCGATTGGGATGAAGATGACATGTATCAAATATGTCACCGTGCTTGACCAGTGTTTAATTTAAGCACAAGGCACAAAATACAAGACTGGTACTGAATAGACACTCAGTAGAGTAGAGTTCCACTTAAATCTTATTTCATCCTTTTCCATCTGTACAGTCGTATCCAAACCATTTTACTCGGGATATATTACCCAGATATGGTTAAGGTCCGGGTTAGAATATTGATCTTCAGTAACCCATGCTTGTCGTAAGAGACGACTAACGGGATCGGGTGTCAGGCTCGCTGACTTGGTTGACACATGTCATCGGTTCCCAATTGCGCAGATCGAGTGCGGCGTAAACTTAAACTCACTCACACACTCACCAAAACATGTTCTGTATCCCTGGGTTAATAAGGAAAGTGTGTAGATATATATATGGAGAAATTGGTCATGCTGTTGATCACTGGGTTGTCTGGTCCAGACTCGATTGTTTACAGACCGCAGCCATATAGCTGGAATATTGCTGAGTGTGGCGTAAAACTAAACTCACTGACTCTTTGCAGTGACTTCATTTTGTTTGTAGCGCCATGAGCAAACACTCTGTGCCTGGGGTTTGTCGCAGTATTGGTGCACATATTATAATTATTATTATGTTTTACGGATTAAAGATGAAAATGCAGCAGAGAGGGTTCGGGTGATCCTGGCACAGTCAGGCTGGTAAGGCTCATCATCAGCTCAGGGCCCTTGCCCCCTCTACACGCAGCCCAGACAGCGAATGGGTCTTCTCCCAGGAAACGCTGCCTAGTCGAACCCACCAAGAACTTTCCGGAGAATATGAAGGTTTATTATTATTATTTCTTTATTTATTTATTTATCCCACCCGACATACCTGTGATTCCTGTAGGTCAGGACTTGACCACTGAAGTGGGCACTCTGAATTCCGGTGTTGAGGGACAGGAAGTGGAAGATGACGTCATCACGCTGCCTCACATCGAGGCCAGGCAGGTTTCCATACATATAGCCGTTGACGTGGAACAACAAGTTGGATGTCTTGAAAGAGCCATCGTTATTGTTGCTAAGCGATAAGCATGCGGAAGGATTGCCACATTTGTCTAGGTTCTGGGAGAGGAGCCAACTCCGTCCTTCGTCAGTCTGGTCCATGTACAGCACGAATTCTTTGTCAATGTCACGACGTTTGTTGCCAAAACGAAGCGTTCCTGTATGAACACATTTAGCAAAGCTTTGTCCAACATTTATTTGAAACAAACAGGTTGAAAAAAAAGAATTGTCTGCACCAAAAACTCATTGTTACAGAAGGCATATTTTTACAAAAATAGACATAATGAAGAAGACATGTCTATGTGACTCATAGACATAATGCAAAATATATGTCTCCTTCCCAAATCATTGCCCCCTTCCCGAGATTCTCACGTATGTCCGTGTTCGTTGTAATGTCCCAATAAACACATACCAAATGGAACTGAAGCACATACGTTCTAGTTCTGAGTTATACGTTGCTAATATTGATAAAAACAATAATATGTAATAACATGAACATTACTTAATACTATATGATTAAACAGACCTGAATCAATGCATGTATTGAATCCTTTAGATTATGTATTTCAAGGATACTGAGATTCGATGTACAGAGTCTCTACCCTTAATAACACCAGGTTCAGGCGATAGTGAACTCGAATTCAAATTTCAAGATGACATGTACATATGTCAGTTACAACCTTATCACCAAAACAGTTAGCTATTCCAGATGATATATGACTGATATACAATTGACATTTGTAGTCCATGGTAGTAGTAGAAGCCCTTGAGATTTTAGGCCCACGTTTTCAAACACGTGAGGCATTTACCATTGTGTTGTATGGGCAAATATAGGCACACCCTTGCAATATTGAACTTTCCCGTTAAAGGACCCATGTCAGAAAATATTCCTTGCGTGAACCCTGTACACAGTTTAGACTGTGTTTACTGACCTCTCTTGCATGTCATAAGGACGCCGACCAATCCGCTGTCCACATCTTGGACCGGCGACACGTGTGAGTGATAGGCCCAGGCGAGACATCGCGAGTCGTCACTGGTGGGGGCAAAGTTGGGTGTCAACCTCCAGACATACGTGAACGTCTCTCCGGGACCTACGCCGTCATCAGCCTTGTCTGTACCTGTCGTCGCGTCGACGTAAAGCGCACCTTGAAAATGACAAGTGAAAAGTCATTCAAACACAGTTACAGTACAACCAGAAATTATTGAGAATTTAAAGATTGTTAATTTATATATATTTTTTCACTCATTACTCACGTATTAAATGTGAATATTTGCAGAAAATAACTCCAGATTCAAAGACAGGTGAACAGTTAGTATTTTGTCAAGTCACCATGGGCAGCAATGCAGGCTTCAATGCGGCGGGGCATACTACTGATCAAAGAAGTTAGAAAGTCGTGGTCCATGCTGTCCCAATATCGGACCACCTCTTCTTTCATTTCAGCAATATTTGTCAGATTTTTCTTATTGACACTTTCCTTCATAAGTTCTCAAACATTTTCTATTGGATTTAGGTCAGGGCTATAGCTTGGCCAATCTAATAATGTCATATTTTGGGTCCGAAAACAGGCCTGTGAATGCTTTGAGCGATGTTTTGGGTCGTTGTCCTGCTGGAAAATCCAAATATTTCCATAGAACCCGTGAGCAGTCCGAAGTAAATGTCCCTCGAGAATATCTGTGTACCGCTCACTGTTCATATTCCCTTCAAATACACAGAGGGGCGTTGCCTCTAACACAGACATGCCACCCCACACGTTAAATTTCGGACTGTACTTTGGGCACTGATACAAAGGTTTTTCAGTTTGTTTGGTCCAGAATTTCAGTGTATTAGGAAACAGCCACACAGAACTTTCATCTGAGAAAATCACATTGTCCCAGTTAAAATTTCTATGCTGTAAGCACCAGTTCAACCTTCGCTCCTTTTGTTCAGGTTTCATGATCGGTGATGGAATTCCTCGACTTTTCTGCCAACCCATTGCATGCAACTCAGTTCTAATTGTCTCCTTACAGACAGCCACAGTTCCTCTATCAATCATATCCAGCCTTAAGTTTTCTAAACTCCTTCGTTTGTTTTTAGAAACAAGAATACCAAGCCGCCTCCTGTCACCGACAGTCAATTTTCTGGGCCTACCTGCGCCTCTCTGGTGCTCAATGCCATATTCCATTTGCAATATTTTTCAAAACACGATAAACAGTGGACAAAGAGATGCCTGTTCTACTTGAAATCACTTTAGCTGATCAACTTCCTCTTCTCTAAATCATCCATAAAAATCCCTGAAAATGTCGTCTGCCAGCAAGTAAACAAAGGGGGATAACTCTTCACAAACTAATGAAAAAGGATTAACGGAGTTGTCTCTCTTGAATGAAACCAAGCACTTGATAGCTGGTCAAGGTTGTTTATACCAGAAATCCAATTAAACATATTCCTAAAATTCTCAATAATTTCTGGTCATGCTATATTGTCATAAGAATCAACAGCAGCGTCTGCGTTTTCGTTAACAGGGACGTGGGGTAGCCCAGTGGTTAAAGCGTATGCTCGTCACACCAAAGGAAGACCCGGGTTCGATTCCACGGGTACAATGTGTTAAGCCCATTTCTGGTGTCCTCCGTCGTAATACGAAACATACAGCCAGTCAGATTACTGAGCGAATGGGGTCAAGTTTAGACGAGGCCTCCAATATGTTTTTGTTTTAATTTAACTGAATTCGATCCGGTGATTACGACCATTGCATGTCGCCCTGACACCGTGGGACCTTGCTTATAATATCAATCACTGGTTAATGGTTTGTCCATTCCCAAACTGAATTACATTCAGTCAACCTTGGGGTAACTAGAATAATGGAGACTTGGAACGTACAAACAAACAAACAAACACAGGCATCACAATGAAAACTACGACAGCTGCTGTATCAAAACTAACCTTCAGCATCCTTATTGTACTGGACACCGTGAGGATGGACACTGAAATTACGTCCAGCGGTCATCGCCATGTTCTTGAAGTAGACTTTGATAGTGTCTCCAACCTCGGCCCGTAGGGTTGGACCCACATATCCCAAACTTGCCGCATGGGGGCGCTGCTTTGTAAAACCGCCATCAGTGAATTCCCGATATACTATTTTCCTGTACACACTTCCTATACGGTCCTGTCCCGGTTTAAGATACGTATCAAAATCACTGCGAACAAAATAGACAGACTTGATATCAGTCATATCCCCAAAATGTGATGACAACGGTATAAGAAAATGAACTGAAACGTGGCTTCATAATATAAAAAAGAAGCTGTTTTCCATGAGGTATCTTGCGTTTGAATGTTAATCACCAAATTCTCTGCTAATCAAAGCAGCAGTTTTTTGTTTCGACATTTACTACAGTTAGGGCCGTAAAGTTTTTGTACCAAGTAATTGCCATCCGTGTGTACAAAATTGATTACCCCATCCCCCTACCTCCCTAGAACAAAATGGGTAAAACCCCTTAAAATCATCCTTAAGTCTATATAATAGTCACACACTAATAAAAAAATAGTATTCATTTGCAATATATTTTCTGTTACAATATTCACACATTATATACTTAATGAAAGCAGGCTAAATATATTTTAAGGAGAATGTTAAGTTAATGTTATCAACGAGATATCAAGGCTGGTTCGCATACTTTGACTCTTATAGTCGGTATTTCATTAACAGGTATGGTTAGCTAAACGAGTATACAGATACGTGAAGTATAGTTTGATTCAGGAGTGAGTGAGTTTGGCGTTAAGTCACGTTGGTCTTATTTATTTAATCCGTTAGGCGTTTTAGTTCTTATAAATTAGTTACAGTGAGTGAGTTTAGTTTTACACCGCACTCAGCAATATTTCAGCTATATGGCGTTACTGAAGATCAATATTCTAACCCGGACCTTCATGGGTATAAATGGGTTACAGGAATCCACTGACCATAAAAATCCCGAGAGAAATATAAAAATATCAATTAAAGAGTTTATTTTATTGCCATTGAGACTAAAATCCATATTTAGAAATATTATCAAAACAAAATTGTTTTCATACCTGATCCCAAAACAAATTGTCAAGATATGGCCATCATTGAATTTTAACGAAATAAAAAAATACCTGTCGACCATACGTTTTAGAAAAATACAAACAAGAATTTAAGTGTTGTTTAATAGCCATTTCGTGTTCGTTTCATTTTCAGGCACAACTAAAATGAAGTATGCTTTCATTTACCCCGCAGTATATATTCAAATACAGCAACAAAGTTCGAAGGAAACAAAATAAGAACAAATAAAATATAAAATCCCTGCTAGAAACAAGCGGGAGGAGAAAAAGTATTAAATATTCAATATATTCTATACAGTTAAAAAGTACTTACCTGTTGTTATTTACCCTGTTCCCGTGGGGAGCATAGTTCCATTCGATTTCAACAGCACCGATGTAATACTCACGTATGCGAGCATTCACTGAATAAAACAGTGCCAATACACAAAAGAAAACTAAAAAATTCATTTCATTAAACAAAAAAATCTACTTCTGAATGGAATTCGAATCGCAAGTTTTTCAATATTTTAAACGTCCGAACTAAACCTATGTAGCAGCCTTTAGTGATTCGATCTCCGATGCGTTCCGAAGCTTAACGAGTCCCCGATATTTTATATCTTTTCCAAACCGGATAAGACACACGTGGTCTATTGACGTATGATTGTGCAAAGAAAATAAAAGGCGTGGACGGATCTTCGATGAGGAAGTTCGCAGGAATTGGACTTTCCAGAATTGTGGAGTAAATGTAACTAAACTTAGCAAGGAGTTAAACGTTTTCACCTATTGATTGCGTCACAATATTTAGCTATTGCTCTACATAGTTACATGTTTTCACTCACGTACGAGGTGACTCAGTGAACCTTTGGGTCATGTACGCGTGTCCCTAATGTAAACTACAGACACGAGGCTTTGTCGGCGTTGCTAAACATTATCATTTCAGTGTTATGAGAATCGTTTTATATGAATGAATTCTTGTTTTATTTTATACGTTTTATTGATTCATGATCACCTTTTATTAAATCGATTTGATATTTACGCCCATTTTCGTTCGTTCAACCTTTCTCATATTTTAATTGTTTTAACGTCCACCATTAGAAGCTTGTAACCCTGTATCGCTTTGGAGGTGAGGTTAAATTGGGTTTAACGTCGTACTTGAGAATATTTGGCTCATATGACGACGTGCATGCGTGTGTATGTGTATGTGCGGACTTAAGCTGGTTTTATAGTGCTAGCCCACTGAAATACCATGTCGCAGTGAAGCATGAATACCCCACTCAGACACATTATACTGACTCCGAGCCGACCAGTCCTTGTTCTACCCATTAATGTCGAGCGCCAGGCAGGGACCAATAAGTACCATATTTTAATGTGTTTTGGTATGACGCGGTCGGGAATCGAACCCGCGACCTTCCGCTCTCCGGGCGGACGCTCTAACCACTATACCACAGAGGCGGTCTATATCGCTTTGAAGGGGCGGTGGGGTAGCCTGGTGGTAAAGCGTTCGATCGTCACGCCGAAGGCCCGGGTTCGATTCCCTACATGAGTACAATGTGTGAAACCAATTTCTGTTGTCCCCCGCCATGGTATTGCTGGAATATTGCCTACATGGGTACCTATTTCATTAGGTACCGTAACGCTCTACTGTTATATAATTAACAACATAATTATGTATATAATATACTTTTATATTAGTTTTGCATAAGTTTACTCTTTAAGTTATTAATTAACGGAATATTCGTTCTATGGCTTTACGTATATTTGTTTGTTTATAGGTATATATTGACACATTTTTTCAGTATACACTAAACGTCAAAAGAAACGTTACCCTCCTACCTTATGAATTACTTAAAAACTATCAAAGATATATTAGAAGATACTAGTTTACACGAAAGCTTAAAACACAGCTTTATGCAAATCACGAAAAACAATTCTTAAATGTATTCATATTTAGGTTAAATGTGTCTATTTCTGAAGAGTTAAATTGTGCTATTTTCTCCCATGCCGAAATAAACAAATAACAGTGATTTAGATGTCCACGCATCACAACGCCAGCTGAAGATGGGTACCTCCGTCTTTAGGAAGGAGGGTAACGTTTCTTTTATCGATTAGTGTATATATCTCTCGAGATGTGGGTATGCTTCTCGACCCGTTTGTCTCTGAACAAACATATTAATAATAACTGCATAAGAGTGAGTTAGTGACTTTACTTTTACGCCGCTTTTAGCAATATTCCAGCAATATCACGGTGGGGGACACCAGAAATGGGCTTCACACATTGTACCTAAGTGGGGAATCGGTGTCCTCCCATTACGCAGACAGGCAGTTCGTAGACTCCTTAAAGTAACAACATTTACGGTTTAATAAACAGATTAACTACTACCTGTTACCTACACATTATAATGGTATAGTCCAAATCAAAACACACAGAACAAAACTGGAGCTATATTATTTACTTTGAAAGATCGCCGAAAAGAAAACCTTCTAGTTCAGTGTCTGTCAATCGACTGTCTGTCAGATGGGTGTCTGTCAATTTGGAGATAACCGAATCGTTGTCCTCCCATTACGAATCGACCCCGGATCTACATCGTGACGGGCAAACGCTTAACCACTAGGCTCCTACCGCCCCAGTCACCAAACATTAATAATTTTCTCTATCAAATCGCAAATGGGACGAACAAGGGGAGTTGATGTGTTGTGGTATTTTCGTGAGAAACAAATTAACATACAGACAGTTAATACCTTTAAAGAAAATATTTAAGTGACAGTTAAGCATTATTTAGCATTGACTCAGTTAAGGAAAAGCTCGGAATATGCGCGCTGATATTACTGTTGATATCAAAGTCCATGTCCTGGTAGATATTTCGATGTCTGTTTTGATTGGCTTTTGTGTACCTATGCAGGATCGTATTTCCGTGTATAGACCCCCCGAGGCGTTCCTTGAATCAGGCCCAAGGCTTAATAATAACGATTAAACATAATGCTCTGGTGCATGTAAATACCATGGCTCCGAGTCAAACATAGTTTTTTAATGACGATTGTGTTTCACGGAACAGGGAAATGAAGTTAGCATGAAAACATATTTTGTGCAGATGAATATTTTAAACAGTAATTATATATGTACAAACCTGTTCATCCTTGAACACGGATATTTGAATACAAAAGAATAATTGTAGTAATATTTTATACGATAGATACCAGATTTGCTAGATAATTTATGTTCAATGTTCAATTTCAAAATGACAGAGTCAGACCCTCAAAAAGGTTTAGGAACTCCTACAATGATCTTTGTTAACATTGTTTGGCTTGCAAAGTAACATTTTTCCATTTGCTGTTTACACATAGCAATATCAATCGCCAAAACGCAGCAATATTCAAGCAGTATATGCTTCCATTTCACATGTAGAATGACTCTAGAAGCCTAGAAAAGACGATATGATACACAAGTACGAGAAATATGCCACGATTAACAGCTGAAGTGAGAGAAAAAGTCATTAGGATGGTGCAGAAGGGGTCGACATACAACGCCAGTTGAAGATAGGTACCTCCGTCATTAAGGAAGGAGGGTAACTTTTCTTTTGGCGTTCAGTGTATCTTACAATGTAAAATATATTTTCGAAAATTCAATATATCTGATTATTGACATGGTTTTAAACTTATATCTGGAACACTAGATCAAACTAATGTGTAAACATGGAACATTATAAAAGTTAAAACAGCTTACTTTAATTCTGACGAATTTTCATTTATTGCTGTGTTGACGTATACATAGTGTTGAAGTTTTATTTCCCTGGAAATTTTTCAGCTACCATGGCTCGTTAATTAATAACCTGCGAGACAAAATGTGACGGAATTCATGTTGACATGCCAGGAGTTATTTTTAGGTGTTTTGCAAATAGGACGCGTTTTTACCAGTCTTGTAACTGTCCAAGTTGAGTTTGTTTGCGGATCCGACTACATTTTGAAATAGAACAATGTTGTCACGAATTGACATTAAATGTTATGTCGAATAACAAGTAATCTGTACACGCATTATTAGGAGGATAACATACGAAGAACATGTGAAGATCGGGGTAAGAATGTATCTTTAGCAACCCATGCTTGTCGTAAGAGGCCACTAACGGGATCGGGTGGTCAGGCTCGCTGACTTGGTTGACACATGTCATTTTATCCCAACTACGTAGATCGATGAACACGATGTTAATCACTAGATTGTCTGATCCAGGGGACGATTATTTACACACCGCCGTCAGATAGCTGGACAACTACTGAATGCTGTGTTAAACAACCAAGTCAGCGAGCTTTACACACACCCCCAACCCCCCACCCACCCCGATCCTGTTAGTCGCCTCTTACGACAAGCATGGGTTACTGAAGATCAATTCTAACCCTGGTCTTCACCGGTCCGTTTCTATGAAGACACTTTAATTTACCAATATATGGCGCATATATGACCATGAGCACGCCCTGTGTCAGCAAACAATCTGTACATGCTTAAACATCCGACAGCAAACAAAGAGACAGCTGCAGCGACGGATAACTCTTAAACTGCACTGTTAGCTGTAAGACCAGGAAGTTTAATGATCATTTTTTGAAAGACGATCTAGCATCTACCCGACTGAGGCCAAATCCTGTTGAAATAAAATCCCCACATAAATCGTGTTGAGAATACATTTGTTTCTTCCTATATATATCATGGAAATGTCAACTCTGGGTGGTGTTCTGAATCAAACAGTTCATTGTGACATCGACGTATTTGCATGCCTTGTTCATTGCTCTACACGTGATGGTGTTGTACCAGATTCCGCTCGCAGTGATGTCAGTCAGATGTCGATAGCTGATATCGACATCAAACAGCTGACTTTAGCGAGTAGGTTAGTCACTGGATACACACATATAGACTTTATGGTAGGTACGGAAGTATTTCATGAAATGACTTATCATGACTCACCGAGACTTCTCAATGATTCCGGTTCATTATAAGATGTATCCTCAAGTTTTCCATGAAACTGCTACCACGCTTGTTGTTCGAAACCATTTGCCCATAGAGATATTTGCGTGGGCGATACAATAGCTTTGGAGGGGGTTTAGTTGTCCTTCAGCTGTCAGATATGTTGATTCAATGCTTTACACTGGTTGTTAGTTTGTGACCCCAGGGAGAGTGGTGAGGGGGAACCACCAGAAGTAGGCGTTATACAATGCATCATCCATGTAGGGAATCGAACCCCACTGTGGTGTAACGAGCGAACGCTTAAACCACTAGACCACTCTCTCAATGTACAGTGATTCTCACCGAGCGTGAGAAGTACGACTGCCTTTCTATGGTTTCAACTGTAGATTATCTGCTACTAATATTGACCGTTGACTGACCTTCTGTCTGCAGCTCATTATGGAAGCTCACGCATACATTCTAGACACGCACATTACGAATGTACTGATGAGTACATTATGACTGTAGTAGAAGTAGCAGTAAGTTTAGTTTTACGCGCCTTTAGCAATATTCCAGCAATATCACGGCGGGGAACACCAGAAATGGCTTCACACATTGTGCCCATGCGGGGAATCGAACCCGGGTCTTCGGCGTGACGAGC